GCTCCCTGCGGCGCGCGGTAAGGATGCCGGTTTCCAATGCGTTCGCCTTCCCTGCCGTTGGCAATGGCGTCCATGAGGTATTCGGACAAAAACATGACGCCCGCCTGATACATCCCGATGTCGATCCATTGGCCCTTGCCGGTGCGTTCGCGGTACCGCAGGGCGGCGCCAATCGCCAGCATTGCGCTCCAGGTGGACAGGAAATCCACAAATGACCGCCCCGCTTTGGACGGCTCACCACCCGGATATCCTGTGATCCAGCAATGGCCGTGAGTACCCTCCTGGGTGGTGGCCTGCGCCGGGTAGGATGAATATGGGCCATCGCCGTGTCCGTAGCCAGTGTTGGACACCATGATGATGTCGGGGCGCAACTTGCGGAGATTGGGATAGTCCAACCCCCAACTACGCATCACCCGTGGAGTAAAATTTTCCATGACAACGTCGCTGACCATCACCAATTCCCGGAATACGTCACGCCCTTCCTCGCGAGACATGTCGAGCACCAGGGAGCGTTTGCTGCGGTTCAGGAGATGATATGTCGAAGGCCGGTTCCACCAGTCTTCTCCCGGATCATTATCCGGGAAAGTTCCGTACAAGCCACCGCCTCGAGTGATGTCGGGCCGTGCGGGACCTTCTATTTTTATGACATCTGCGCCGAGATCGGCCAATTGAGCGCCGGTGTAGGGCAGAGCGAACACGTAAGTGGAATCAAGGACACGGATGCCGGACAGGGGCAGATTAGCCATTTATCTCAACTCCCATGAACGGTTCGTACTCCGAACACAACAATCATCCAGCTTGATAGGACTAAATAACTTCCAACTGGCGCATAGTGGAGAGCGTCGGCGCATCATATCCCAGCCCATCAACGAAAATCTCCCGGTTATGCTGCCCCAACGTCGGAGCCGGCATACGCAATTGATACGGCGCCGCAGACATTCGGAACAACTCAGCCGGAACCTTGATACGACCTATGACCGGGTGATCAAGTTCGCGATAGAAACCCCGGGATTCCAACTGTGGGCAATCGGCCAGCTCGAATGGAGTTTGAACCAGACCGAACAGCATCCGTTTTTCAGCGGCATTGGGGAACAATTCCCATTTTTCGCGGTCCCGAATGGCGTCCAGCACGACAGCATCCATCGCCGCGCCGTTCCGCACGCGTTGGGCCCGGTCGGCAAACCGGGGTTCCAACAACTCGGGAGACTGGAAGAAATCAGCGATATCTTCCCACGATGCTCCGCCGCCGGCCTGCACGATGATCCAGCCATCTTTGCATGGCATGGGGTTTTCCCACATCTGTCCATCCTGTCGCCGAATCTGCACACCGCCGATGAATGGATAAATGGTTTGCGTGGCCATCATGGTTGACGCTACGCACTCGGTTACCGACACGTCAACGTGCTGGCCCTGGCCGTACCTCTCTTGCGCAAACAGCGCCATCGCGGTGGCTCCCGCGCCAAACAACCCGCCCTGATACTGGGCCTGGAACCCGCCGTGTTTCAACGGAGGTTTACCTTGCACGCCGCTGATTCCCATGACCATGCCCATGGCGTAGGAAACGATTTCTTCCCCATGGAAATCCCGGTAAGGCCCGGTCTGACCAAAGGGAGTCACCGATGTCATGACCAAACCGGGATTGATGGTAGACAGCGAATCGTACCCGATGCCCAACCCGTCAAGATAGCCCGGAGCGTAACTTTCCACGATCAAATCGACCCGACCAGCCAATTCTTTCAGGATTGCGCGACCGGCTTCCGATTCGATATTCAGTGTGATTCCTTTCTTGTTCAGGTTAAGGATGAGGAAAAATAAACTTTTTTCAGGATGGGGATCGTCATGATAAAAAGGACCGACCCTCCGCATCGCGGAGCCCGCCGGAGGTTCAATCTTCAGCACGTCTGCGCCGTAATCGGCCAGCAGGCGGGCACAAAAAGAACCCGCTATATCGGCGCTCAGGTCGAGCACCTTTAGTCCATCAAAAACGCCCTCGATCATATCGATCCTGTTGAGCCTTACCATCGTTCCGTTGACCCATTGCGCCGCTATATCTTGCCATCACGGTGAAGGGGCTGAATCACTCCTGCGGTCAATAGAATGTGGCACTGATTTTACACCTGCCGTCAAACCGGCGCGCAAATGCGATATGATGTCTTCGTACCATACCCTCGGTATTTCAGGCAACCGGCGCCGCACGGCGAACCGCCATACAGGAGACAGTATCAATGATAATAGATCCGCGAACGTTCGAACGTTTCAACCTGATACTCACGGGTGTCGTTGTTCCGCGCCCCATAGCGTTCGTCTCGACAATATCTATCGACGGTGTGGTCAATCTGGCGCCGTACAGCTTTTTCAACGCTGTCGCGTACAACCCTCCCACGGTGGTGTTCTCATCTTCCCGCAAAGCCGCCGGATGGCAGGACAAACGCAAGGACACTTTGACCAACATCGAAGAGACTGGTGAATTCGTGGTCAACGTGGTGGTGGACGATATCGCCGCCGCCATGAACGCCACCGCCGCCGAATACCCCTCGGACGTCTCTGAGTTCGTCATTGCCGGGCTAACCGAAGCGCCCAGCGAAGTTGTAAAGGCGCCTCGGGTGTTGGAATCACCGGTTAACATGGAGTGCCGGTTGAGCCAAATCGTGAACATTGGCGAGCAGCCGCATCAGCATGGCCTGGTCATCGGAGAAATTGTGCGCATGCATTTGCGCGAGGATGTATTGTACGAGGGCCCCAACGGTTACCGGGTCAATCATCAGGCACTGCAGCCCACGGGCCGGTTGGCCGGCAACGCTTACTGCCGCACTGACGATGTGTACGAACTGATCCGCCCCAATTACGTTCCGGAAGAGGCCGAACAGACCGCCGGACAACCCGCCGACTGACGCTTCAACGCTGACCCCAAGTCTATCCAGCATACTGAGGAGGCTAACATGGCGACCGATTCCGCGACCGGCATCACCGTCTACGGCGCTGAATGGTGCCCGGACTGCCACCGATCCCGCAACTATCTGGACAGCCAGCAGGTGACCTATGAGTACGTGGACGTCGACGGGGACGACACGGCGCAGGCCTACGTCAAACAGGTCAACGACAACCGGTTGATCATCCCCACGATCATATTCCCTGACGGATCGATCCTGGTGGAACCGTCCAACGCCGAACTGGCGCGAAAACTGCGGCAGTAAACCTGGACAAGGCCACCGCAACAACTATTCGGGGAATTGCAACAACTGCAGCACGTTACCGTCAGGGTCTTGCAGTGTTGCCACCCAGGCTCCCCAATGTTCCTGCTCCGGGGCCCGGATGAACTCGACGCCGTCCCCCGCAAGTCGGGTATGCTCGGTGTGGATATCGGTTACGCCCAGGTGAGGCATCATACGCAAAGGATCCCGGGACGGCCCGCTGACGCCGCTGTGCCGGCCCACGTTGAAGCGCAGGTTTCCGAGCTGGAAGGCCGCGAACCCCACATCCTCGTGGAACGAATGCAACGGTAACTTCAGCGTGTCCCGGTAGAATCTGACCATCCGGTCCAGATTATCCGTCCAGATAGTGATGCCGACGACGCTATCAATCACCTGACTGTGTGGCGACCGGGGAGCAGGCTCGGCACCAACCGTGGAAATCCACGCGCTGCCACATCACCTGAAAACTGGTTTCGTTGGAGACTTCGTCACGCAGCTGCAGGATGATATCGCTGCTGCCGTCAGCGTCGGCGATGTTGCCGCACCCAATGCAAACAAGGTTGACGTGGGGAGACACGTTGCTCTCGTACCGGGACTGCTTGGCGAACGGCAATTCCTGAATCAAGCCGCTCTTGGACAACACCCCCAGCGTGGAATAGACGGTCGCCAGCGTCATAGACGGAAAATGCTGCTGAACCCGTTCGTGAATCTGCTGCACGGTGGGATGGTCGCTGGAATTGAGCACTGCTTCGGCGATGGCCAATCGTTGAGGCGTTACGCGCACGCCGCCTTTACGCAATTGTTGGACCACGGCGCTTTGGATCATGAGTGCCTCCGATACGGCCCATGCCGTCCAATATCTGCGAACTTCCGTCCGTCGGTTGAGTATAACACCGGTCGAATTATGAGGTTAACCGCACCGGATTGCCCCGACCATCAGATGGTCGCCCGGCGCTGCGGCATAGTAAGATCTTCGGCGCCGGAGTCGCAACCTTGGCTCCCAACAGTATGGTTTCGTTTGACCCACCGGCAGCCGTGTGGCAAAATTCAGGTGTGTTACCAAACTCGTAACTCATAGAGTAGTGGATTCGCGATAACAAACAACTTGATGCTCCCAAAGGACGGTTGCCCACATGTGGACTGGCGACGATTTGCAACGGCTGGTGGGCCGGGAACTTAGCGAATACCGGCTGATAGTAGTGTCTAATCGCCAACCGTACGCATTCCGAATGGAAAACGGAAACCTGGTGGGTGAGATGCCTCCCGGCGGCCTTACTGCGGCCATTGATCCATTGATGCGCGCGTGTGGCGGCACCTGGATCGCTCAGAGCAACGGGGACAGCGACCATCTTGCAATGGATGCAGACGGCAGAATTGCTGTACCGCTTGACTCGCCGGCTTATCGGCTGCGCCTGATGGACCTGACCGAGGCGGAGAACGACGGCTACTATTACGGATTCTCCAATCAGGGATTATGGCCCCTTTGCCACGTTGCATACACTGAGCCGATTTTCGATACCCAGGATTACGAGGCTTACAAATCAGTCAACCGCAAGTTCGCAAACCTGGTTGTTGATGAAATCGGTGATGGGCCGGCGATTGTACTTATTCAGGATTATCACCTGGCGCTGCTGCCTCGCTACATCCGGCAGGTGTGCGAGGACGTTATCATTGGACAGTTCTGGCACATCCCCTGGCCAAACACGGACATTCTGCGGATTTGTCCCTGGCAAGAAGAGATTTTGGACGGGATGCTGGGCCATGACCTGCTGGGGTTCCATCTTTCCAGTGACTGCGACAAATTCCTGGATGCGGTGGCACGGAACCTGAATGCCCAGGTGGATTCCCAGTTTGGCCTGGTGGATTATCAGGACGAAATGACTCTGGTAAGACCCTTTCCGATCAGCATCGACTTTGACAGTCTGGACGCCGAAGCGCGCACCGCCGAGGTTGAGTCGGAAATGGCCCGGTTGTCTCAGGAATTCGGCCTGGACACCGGGCGCATATTGGGTCTGGGTATCGATCGCCAGGACTATACCAAGGGAATACCCCACCGGCTGAGAGCGGTAGAACGCTTCCTGGAAAAGTGGCCGGAATACCAGGGCAAGCTGGTGTTCCTGCAGGCCGGCGCCACCAGCCGAACCAACATCAACTCATACATGCAGCTGACCATCGATATCGAATCTATCGTAAATCGGATTAACGAACGATTCGGCGACGGCGACTGGCAGCCGATTGCATATTGGCCCACTTCGTTCCCGTCCGCCACCTTCTCGGCATTACGCCGTTTGGCGAGTTTTTGCGCTGAAAGCAGCCTGCACGACGGCATGAACCTGGTTGCCAAAGAATATGTGGCTTCCCGGGTGGATGAGGACGGTGTTCTGATTCTCAGCGCGTTCGCGGGGGCGGCTCAGGAATTGAGCAGCTCGATTATCATCAACCCGTATGCATCCGAGCAGTTTGCCGACGCCATCCATCAGGCGTTGACCATGAGCGATGACGAACGTCGCCTGCGGATGCGGCACATGCGCAGCATCGTCCAACAAAACAACATCTACAATTGGGCCGGACGCATAATGATGAATCTAATGCAGGCCAGTACACCAGACCACGCCCGGTTGCCCGCGGCTCAAGCTATCTGAACTCCCCGTCACCGTCAAAGCCCCCGACTGCATATATGACCCCCACTCTGGAATCCTGGACATCCGTCCGCCATCGACTGTCTGAGCAAAACAAAATCCTGCTTGCGCTGGATTTCGACGGCACATTATCCGAGATCACCGAACGACCCGAAGACGCCGTGTTGCGTGAGGGTAATGCCCCACTTTTGGAGGCGTTGGGACGGAAACCGAATATCATCATCGGAATCCTGAGCGGCCGCGCGCTCAATGACGTATCCGGGCGGGTGGGGGTTCCGGGGTTAATATATGGCGGTAATCACGGTCTGGAGATTCGCGGGCCGGGACTAGATTACCTTCATCCCGCCGCCGCCGCCGCGATTCCGGCCATTTCCGACGCTGCCGAAAGGCTGGTTGCGGATTTGGCGGATATTCCGGGTGCGTTGGTGGAGAGCAAGGTGTTGACCCTTACGGCCCATTACCGCCTAACTCCACCGCAATATCACGATTCCATCGCCATGATATTTCTGGACACCGTGGGGCCACTCCTTGCGACTGGCGCCTGTCGGGTTACGGCGGCCAAAATGGCAATGGAACTGCGGCCGGCAGTTGACTGGCACAAAGGCTACGCCCTGGAGATGATCCGTTTTCAGTTGGCTTCCGATGCATTCCCGGTGTATTTCGGTGATGACGAAACCGACGAGGATGCTTACGATGCAGCACAATCGGTCGGCGGGATCGGCATTTATGTGGGTCCTCCGTCAACGGAAACCCGGGCAATTTGCCGGTTGGATTCTCCGGCCGCCGTCTCTGCGGCATTGGCCGATCTACTGGCGCTGACATAACCCCGGCGGGACGAGCGTGGATCACGGCTTTCGCAATGTTGGCGGTGTGCTATCATTGCCGCTGACCGGCACGAGGCCGCAGGTCCAATCGCGTGCTGTCGCGCCACCCAATGCACATGATCAAGGCAATCTTTTTCGATTTCTATAACACGCTCGTCCGTTTCTGGCCGCCGCTGCCTCAGATTCAGCATGCGGCGTGTCAAAATCTGGGAATACGCGTTCCTGCCGAAAACCTGGCCCGTGGTTACGCGATTGCCGACCTCTACTTCAACGAGGAGAACCATCTCCAGCCGTTGGGAGAACGCACCACCGAGGACCGCGCCAAGTTTTTCGCCCGGTATGAGCAAATCATTCTGGACGAAGCTGGGGTCAGCGTCACCTTGCGAATGGCCAAAGAAATTTGGGACATGGCGATTGCGGTTCCAAAGGAATTGGTTGAATTCGAAGACACCCGACCGGTGCTGGCGGAACTAAAGGGGCGCGGGTACCGCATGGCCGTCCTGACCAATCTTCGCCGCGACATGTACGAGCTGACCCACCGGTTGGGCATCCAGGATTACCTGGAGTTCACCATCACCGGAGGCGAAGTGGCGCAGAAACCGGCCACCGCGATTTTCGAAGCCGCATTGAGACGCATGGCGATCGCTCCGGAACAGGCGATGCACGTAGGTGATCAACCACGGTCCGATGTTCAGGGCGCGCGCGACGCCGGCTTATATCCGGTGCTCATCGACCGGGGCGGATATCACCCCAACGTAACCGGCTGCGACCACATCGAAAACCTGGAAGGACTGTATCCGCTGCTGGCCAGGTTGGACGAATAGCGCCGAAACCCGCCGTCATTCCAGCCATTTGCGCGCAGTAGCCGACACCAAAAAAGGGGCACCATCATGACCACCCAACCGCCCGCGCACAATCATCCCAACGACCCCAACCCGGTTCACGTGATCGTCTGGTACGACTATATTTGACCCTGGTGTTACGTCGGCCTGGAACGCGTCGACAGACTTCGAGACGACTACGACATCACCATCGAGGGGCGTGCATATTTGCTGCGCCCTGATACTCCGCAGGAAGGGCGGGTTCGTGAGGAAAGACCGGGCGAATCTGACGATGAACTCTCTGAACCCTTGCGGTCGCAAGCCAGAGATGCCAACCTCATCATGCGCCCGCCTCGGAATACACCCAACAGCCTTTATTCCCTGCAGGCCACCGAATATGCCCAGGAAAATGGCAAGTTCATGGAATACCACCATGCAGCTTACAAAGCTTACTGGGACGAAAGGGCCGATTTGGGTGACCCTTCAGTGCTGGCCGAAATAGGCGCCAGCGTTGGACTGGACGGGAATGAATTGCAGGAACGCGTCGAATCCGGGTACTACTCGCAACGGGTGGTAGACCAGTATCAAGAAGCTTTGGGGTACGGTATCAGGGGCATCCCGACTTTCGTTTTCGACAACCTGTTGTTCAGCGGCGCCCAACCCTACGAGGTATTCCAGCGCGTAATGGACAAGGCGCTGGAATACCGCGCTGCCGATAACGACGCGTAGGCGAGGTGTCCCGGATTTACCGCGATCTTTACCCACAGCGCGTTACTCCCAACTTGAAAGGAACAGCGCCCTGATCTTGGCAACCATGAACCGAACCCGTCGTTGACCGGCGCCGTTTGGGTTTTGTTTCCAGAACGCTGGCGCCAACCCTCCCGTGGCCGCGCCCCCCGAGCCGGTGCGAAACATAGTCCCGGAAAACGGTATCGTACGGCGGGCCAGGCGATAATATTCCATTGCCCGCCGGGGTTCCGCTGTGCTAGACTATCGCAGAATTCCCCAGCTGCTTGTTATAGATTTCACAAGTTATCGACCTACCACCGGGAAGTCACAAAATCCCAATCGACAGGTTGCGTTGCGCCTCGACCGGAACCCCCCCGCTACGCTGCGCCGAAGTTGTGTAAACCTATGGAAGACGACACCCGCGCCAAGATCACCGACGCGGTAGACAATCAACCGCAGAGCACTGTAACGGTTCTGTCATCGTTACTGGCCATTGAAGATGCAATTGGGTATATACCCGAAGCAGCAGTTGAAGCGGTTGCGCGCCGCATGGACGCAACCATCAACGACGTATGGGCGGTGGCGACCTTTTATCCCAACTTCCGGTTCGATCCTCCTGCGGAACACCGCGTCGAGGTTTGCTGGGGTCCTTCTTGCCACATAATGGGGGCGACCGCGATCATCGCCGCAGCCCATGACGCACTCAACCTGCCAGGCGAGGGAGACACTCCGGATGGCAAGGCTACCTTGCGTTACAACACCTGCCTGGGGGCCTGCGCCCACGCCCCGGTAATGGCCATCGACCACCACCTGGCCGGCCGCATCACGCCTGAATCGGCACGCGCGCGCATCGGATCGATGCTTTCATCCGACTCCGCGCACTGAACCTTCCTGCAGCCTTTCGTCGTGACTACCACCCTTGAAACCGCCGCCGTGTTTGACAGCATGTTCCAGGAAGCCATGCGGCGATGGCGACAACTTACCCAGGGCGATCAGCCGTGGATAAGAATTGGGACTGGGCTGGCCGGAGAGGCCGCGGGTGGATTCGAGGTAAGGGAGGCCGTTCGCAGCGCATTGTCCGCTCACGGCGTCGCAGCAATCGTTTCGGATGTGGGCACCCTGGGACTGTGTTTCGCCGAACCGCTCATGGACGTGCAGCTACCGGGCGGCCCCAGAGTCTTCTACCAACGGGTTACACCGGAACTGGTCCAGCGAATCGTTGCCGAGCATGTCGTGGGCGGCAATCCAATCCCGGAACTGGCAATAGGTTATTTGGGTGACCGCACCGACCCACCAGCGGGAATTCCCCATCTCGACGATCATCCCATGCGGGCAATGGAGGTTCGTATCGCCCTGCGTAACGCCGGGCATATCGATCCCTCGGACATTTACCAATACATTGCCAACGGTGGTTACGCCGCATTGAACAAGGCGTTGACCGAGTTGAACGCCGATGAAACCCTGGGCGAGGTAAGGACTTCCGGCCTGCGGGGCAGAGGCGGCGCAGCGTTCCCTGCCGGAGTGAAATGGGGATTCCTGGCTGGAAACCCCGATCCCGACAAATACATCCTTTGCAATTGCGAAGAAGGCGATCCCGGCGCGTTCAATGACCGTGGAATACTGGAAAGCGATCCGGCAAGTGTCGTAGAAGGCATGACGATCGCGGGGTACGCCTGCCGGGCCAACCGGGGTTATATCTTTATTCGGCACGGCCACAACCAGCCGATAGACCGGACGCGAGCCATCATCGAGCAGGCGTACGATTTGGGACTGCTGGGTGAGAACATCCTGGGCAGCGGATTCTCCTTCGACCTCGAAGTGGCGCTCACCGGCGACTCTTACGTGTCAGGGGAGGAAACGGCGTTGATGGAGGCCATCGAAGGCAAACGGTCTATGCCGCGTTTCCGACCTCCCTTTCCGGCGCAGGTGGGAGTATTTGGTAAGCCGTCCAACATCAACAACGTAAAGACGTTGGCGTATGTGCCCGAAATCGTGGCCAGAGGCGGCGAATGGTTCGCCAGCATCGGAACGCCGGCAGATCGCGACCGCGGCATCAACGGCAGCAGCGGCACCGCCATACTGTGCCTGACGGGAAATTTGACCTACACCGGTATGGTGGAGGTTCCGCTGGGGATGACACTCCGCCAGGTGTTGTTTGACATGGCCGGCGGCGTGCCCAACGGGAAACGCATGAAACTGCTGCAAACCGGCGGCCCGCTGGGTGGCGTACTTTCAGCCAGCGACGTCAACCTGGATCTGGTGCTCGATTTCGACGTATTTCGCAACGCCGGCGCAATCCTGGGATCAGGCGGAATCATTGTGGCCGACGAGGACACTTGTGCGGTTGACCTGACCCGAAACCTCATCGCCTTTTGTCAGTATGAATCCTGCGGCAAATGCTTTCCCTGTCGCATGGGAATGAGCCACTTGCTGGAAATACTGGAACGAATCAGCCGACTGGAAGGGTCCGAAGAGGACCTGGCGTTGATGCAGAACATCGGGGAGAACATGCAGGCCGGCTCATTGTGCGGCCACGGACAATTGGGCTTCAACCCGGTTTCATCGGCGTTGCGGTATTTCGGGGATGAATTCGAGGCCCATATTCGCGACAAACGCCACACCGGGGATTGCCCCGACGTGGTCTACTCACCGCGCCTGACTCGCCGCGAACCCTCTTCTTCGACCTAGCCCCGGGGAGTAACTATGCCTGACGATATAACCATCTCCATCGATGGCGTCGAGATCCAGACGCAGCCTGGCAAGATGGTATTAGAGGCTGCAATCGAAGCCGGCGTTTATGTTCCCTACCTCTGCTATCACTCCGGCATGAAGCCCTTCGGAGCCTGCCGAATGTGTGTGGTTTCGGTGGAAGGCGGTCGCGGTTTCCCGGCGGCCTGCACGCTGCCGGTTGCGGACGGCATGACCGTATGGAGCGAAACCCCGGACGTAACTGAACTCCGCAAGTCGGTGATGGAGATGCTCATTGCCGAACACCCCAACGGATGTTTGACCTGCCACCGGGTGGATATCTGCGGGCCATCAGACGTTTGCCTGCGTCACGTATCGGTAAACGACCGCTGCGTAACGTGTCCCAAAAACGAACGGTGCGAATTCAAGGATACGGTCCGGTATCTGGGCATGGAACTGGAATCTCCCATGACCTACGTGTATCGGGACCTGCCGCTGGAAGTTAAGGACCCCGTTCTACGACCGGGACTACAACCTGTGCATCACCTGCGGCCGATGCGTCCGCGCCTGTGAAGAAGTGCGCGGGGATAACGCCATCTGCTTCACCGAGCGGTCCGGCAACGCTCTGGTAGGTACTTCGTTTGGAACGTCGTTGTTGGAATCGGGATGTGAGTTTTGCGGCGCCTGCATCGACGTGTGTCCCGTTGGCGCGCTGACCGAACGAGACAATAAGTGGGAAAAGGCCGACCGGATCGAGCGTACGATTTGCACGCATTGCCCGGTGGGTTGCCAGATCAATCTGGAAATCAACGAGCAGGGCCGGGTTATTCGTGCCATACCGGAGTTCAATTCCCCGGCTAACCACGGCCAGGCTTGTTTCAAGGGCAAATTCGGGCTGGATCACGTCACCAGCAGCCAACGCTTGCGACGGCCGCTGGTTCGCCGTAACGGGCAGCTGGAACAATGCGACTGGGACGAAGCTCTCAATATCATCGCCGAGCGCCTGAAAGTGCATCAGGTTGGACAGGGCTTTGGACTCATCGCAGCGCCGGACAGCACCAATGAGGAACTGTACGTCACGCAAAAGTTTGCCCGCCTCGCCATGCGAACCAATAATCTGGACCATTCTGGAAACACTCAACCGGACCTGATAAAGGGTTTGGAAGAGGTATTCGGTTACCCGGGCGCCACCAACTCATTGTGGGACCTGGAAAAGGCCGGGTGCATCCTGGTGTTCAACAGCAATCTCACCGAGGGCCACAACGTGGTTGGCGTACCGATCAAACGCGCCGCGAAGAACGGCACGCCGCTCATCGTTATTGACCCCAGGGAAGTGGAACTCACCCGCTACGCAAGTTTGTGGCTGCGCCCGGTCCCGGGGACCGAACTGGTTCTGCTCGGCGCTATGCTGAAGGTCATCTTCGACGAGGGCCTGGTCGATAGCGAATGGCTGGCGGAGCACTCCGAAGACCCGGCGACCCTCACCTACGAGTTGGAACGCATCGAAGACGCGGCGATCGACGCCACCGGAGTTTCCCGGGACGACATCGCTAAAGCGGCACGGATGTATGCCAGCGCGGACTGCGCGGGCCTGGTATATGGATTGGACAACGTGGCAGAGGCTATCGCAAACGATTGCGTCGTGGCCCTGGCCAACCTTGCCTTGTTGACTCACAACGTCGCCCAACCTGCCGGCGGGGTCTTCCCAATGCGGCAAGGAGCCAACGGACAGGGTGCGACGGACATTGGCTGCACGCCAAGCCGTCTTCCCGGTGGCGGCCCGTTATTTGACGATAACCACCGGGCCCAGGTCGAGGCCGTCTGGGGTCAAACGATTCCGTCCCGACCAAGTTTGGGCACTGCGGCCATGCTCCGGGCCGCTGCCTCTGGCGAGATTACTTCCATGCTGGTGGTTGGAGGCAGCCAGAATTTTGCCAACGGACAGTTTGGCGATGGATTGGCCGCCCTCCAGAATCTGGACTTCCTCGCCGTCGTTGACAGTTTCCTCTCCCCGGCGGCTCAAGTCGCTGATGTGGTGCTCCCACGGTCAACTTTTGCCGAAAAGGATGGGACATTTACCAACCTGGAACGGCGCATCCAAAGAGTACGCCCGGCCGTCTCAGTGAAAAATAACGACTCCCGGCCCGAAGGGTGGATCATCGCGCAGTTGGCTCAACTGTTGGGGGTGGACGGCATTTCGTATGACGAACCCGCGGCGGTTATGGATGAAATCGCAGCGATCTCCGTCAATTACGGTGGCGTCAACTACCAACGATTGGCGGCAGAGTCGACCCTGGTAATGAAGACCGGCATGGATGCGCCGCGACCCACGCAATTGCTATACACGTCTCGCGAGGAAAGGGGCATCCAGTGGCCCTGTCCGGATGGCGCAAGCCCATCTTGTCCGGCGCTGTACCTGAACGGATTTCCCAACGGTAAAGCCGAACCTGGGGCCCCACGGTTCCGGGTTGCCGAACCCGTGGTCAACGATACCTGGCCGGCCGTGTTTGTTCCGGGTCGGGTGCTGCTGCAACACGACCGCGATATGGAAATCGCAGCCGATGAACCGCGTGGTCCGCGATGAGGCGGTTCAGCTGAATCCCGTCAATGCCGCGAACTGGGGCATCAGCGATGGCGATTCGGTTACCCTGGATACCCCACGGCGAACCCTCACCGGGATTGCAGCCGTAGACTCAGGCATGCCTCTTGGAATGGTGGGGGTTACCACGTTTATTCGGACAACTCGCAGTTGAATTACAGATGTCGGAAGATATCAACCCCATGGCGCGCGTCCCTGGATTGGATATAGAACCGTGCCGCGTCGTCGCAATCCGTTAGACACCTGCAATTTACAACTATGCAACATTTTCCAGATAACATATAAGTGGCCCGATGAATTTTAGCTGCCGGGCCGGATGGATTTGTATGGCAACCCGCATCTGGAGTGGCCTCTCAAAAGTGGAGAGATAATGACGAATTTGCAAACCGTTGCAACCACCCGCGACCGCACGGTAAATCTGCCGCGTGCGAAATTGGTGGAACGGGTCGATTACACCGACGACCTCATGGTCATCAAGATGGAGCCGCAGGGTTTCGAGTTCGACTTCAAGCCGGGGCAATACTGCACCCTCGGACTGGAAGGAATCGAAAGGGCATATTCCATCGCTTCCGCTCCCCACGAGCCATTGCTTGAGATTTTCGTGGAGTTGGTGCCGGACGGCGAGCTCACTCCCCGCATGTGGCGCATGGAGGTTGGGGACACCATGTCCATACGACCGCGGCCCAAGGGCATATTCCTGATGGACCCGTCGGTGACGCAACATCTCATGCTCGGTACGGTAACCGGCGTGGCTCCATTCGTCGGCATAGTTCGCGATCACCTGCATTACGGGCGGTCGGGACACCATTTCTACGTGCTGGAGGGTGCCTCCTACTACGACGAACTGGTGTACGACAACGAGCTGCTCGAAATCGCGGAGAACCATCCGGAAATTGTTACTTTCGTGCCAGCCGTCAGCCGTCCCGCCGATGAGCGCAATGCTGCGTGGGAAGGCGCCACGGGCCGACTGAATAACATCGTCGCCGAATATCTGGAGCAGTTTGCTCTCGACAAGTCCGACACGTTGGTCTATGCCTGCGGCCAACCCGGGATGATAGAAAGCAGCCGGGAAATCGTCACGGCCGATAGTTGGAAGTGGACCGAGGAACGCTTCTGGAAAGAGTAAACCCCGAATTCCTCGTGATTGCCGCTGCGGCAGATTACCCCCGCCATCCAGGGGCGGGGGTTTTCCTTGTCCTGAGGCGTCTACACAGTTTTCCTACCCGGACCGCCAGCGCTCCGCTACAATGGGGGCCACCTCCCGCGTTTTGATAGCTGCGAACAACCCATGACCACCGCCAGACTTACTCCCGTCCGCCGCCAGTATCTGACCATCAAGCATTCGTACTCGGATGCGATTTTACTGTTCCGCATGGGCGATTTTTACGAAGCTTTCGACGACGACGCGCGTTTGTTGTCGACGGCCTTGGACATTACCCTCACGTCTCGGACAATGGGGAAAGATACCCGGGTCCCCATGGCCGGAGTGCCCGCAGTTTCGCTGGAAGCCAATCTGGCCCGTCTGATTCGCCAGGGGCACAAGGTGGCCATTTGCGAACAGTTGAGCGATCCCGCCCTATCGAAAGGTCTGGTTGAAAGGGGAGTGGTGAGGGTCGTAACGCCGGGAACGGTGCTGGAGTCGTCGCTCCTGGACCAGGACTCCAATAACTACCTCGCGGCGGTATGCGGAAACGGCGAGCAGGTGGGGTTGGCCTACGTTGATTGCACAACCGGCGAATTCGCCGCCGCCCAATTCCCCACCGACCAGTTGCCGGCGGAACTGGCGCGCCTGAATCCCTCTGAATTGATTTATCCAACTACTGGCGATTCCGGCTCCCTCCTGGCTGGCCACCAAATCCGACCCCTGCCACAGAATGGGACGCGTCTGCTTTTGATCCTGAGTTGGCGACCCGTGCGTTGTTGGACTACTTTGGCGTACTTTCCCTGGAAGCCTACGGCGCCGAGTCTATACCGTTGGGAGTGCGGGCAGCTGGAGCGATAATCGATTACCTGCGTTGGGCCTATAAGAGGGAACAACCACAACTGGCGCCGTTATCCATTTACAACCCAACGTCGTTCATGCGGCTGGGGACACCGCACAAACGCAGGCGCATCTCTCGAATTGTTGAGGCGGACGCTGGACGATCGCGGATTTCGCTGCTGGCCACCCTGGATGACACCAGGACGTCAATGGGAGCGCGCCTGTTGCGGCGATGGTTGGGGCAACCGCTGCTGGATCTAGAACCTCTGGAGAGACGTTTAGCCGCGGTGCAATTCTTCCACGACGACGCTTTCCTGCGCACCGAGGCAACTTCGGCGCTGTCTCGCGTCGCTGACCTGGAAAGAATCCTGAGCCGAATACAGGCGCAAACGGCGACGCCCCGGGAGTTGGTTGCGCTGCTCGGCAGCTTGCGGGCCGCCGCCGATCTATTGAACGGCTTGTCGGGAGACGGTGCATGTGATCTAACCTGGTTGGCGAATTCATTGAAACCGATTCCTGAAGTGGCGGCGTTGGTGGAAAACGCAATTGCTCCGGAGCCAGCGGGGCAACCCGGAGACGGGGGCGTGATCCGTGAGGGGTTTTCAGTAGACCTGGACAAACTTCGCACGTTGGCCAACAACGCCCGCGGTTTCATAGCCGGCCTGGAGACTAAGGAACGGGAACGCACCGGGATGCACGAAACCTCAGGATTGGTTACAACCAGGTATTCGGTTATTACATCGAAGTGAGCCAATCTAACCTCCAGTCAGTCCCCGACGACTACCAGCGTCGCCAGACCCTGGCCGGTGGCGAACGCTACATCACACCCGAATTGAAGGAATACGAAGACCAGGTGATCAATGCCAGCGACCGGCTCAACGAGCTGGAGACGCATGTCTTGGACTCAGCAGGTGCCGCCAGATCGCCGCTAGTGGTACAGAGGCCGCGAGGTGGAAGTGGTCACGGTTGGCCTGGGGAAAGATCGCGCGCGGGACGTATTCGTACCCTGGCCATGCTGAGCATAGGTGTGCGGGCGAGGAGCGTGTGAACTGTGAGATACGGTTATGTAAAGCCGACCCTTACCACGGGACGCACTACGATAACCGAAGGCGACCATCCGTGGTTATGAGCGGGGCTGGATGGTGACGGCCGCTTTCAGTTCCCAACGACTCCGAGCTGGATGCTGATGACGCTCAGATAATGTTGATTTCCGGCCCCAATATGGCCGGTAAGTCCACCTATATCCGTCAGGTGGCCATCATCGTATTGATGGCGCAGATGGGCAGCTTCGTGCCGGCGCGTACCGCCGATATCAGCCTGGTCGACCGTATCTTTACTCGCGTGGGCCTGCAGGACGACCTGACGACCGGTCAATCGACGTTCATGGTTGAGATGGTGGAAACGGCGTCAATATTGAATCAGGCAACCCGTCGATCCCTGGTTATCCTGGACGAAGTGGGGCGCGGCACCAGCACCTACGACGGTCTGTCCATCGCCCACGCCGTCGTTGAGCATCTGCACAACAATCCCCGGCTGGGATGCAAAACCCTTTTTGCCACGCACTACCACGAGCTCACCGAACTTGCCGCCACCCTCCCCGGGGTCCGCAACTACAATGTGGCGGTGACCGAAGACGACGGGCAGATCGTCTTTTTGCGTCGTATCATTCCAGGCGGAGCTGACCGATCTTACGGCGTGCATGTTGCCAGGCTGGCGGGTATGCCCAGAGCCGTGGTGAATCGGGCAACAGGAATTGCTGATGGTGCTGGAAGGGACCGGCAAGAGCCGGACGAATCAGCGCTCCAATGGTTCAAGCGATCTCACCGCTTCACAGCAGTTACAGATGCCGCTTTTCGGGTCTGGGGACGATGAGCTGGTGCAGGCGGTTATGGAAATGGACATTGCGAATTTGACCCCTCTGGAATCGATCAACAAGCTCTACGAGTTGCAGGAGCAGGCCAGGTTACGCAACCGCCACCCATCGTAGGTACTTGTTGCATGTGAATTCAAGGACTCTATCCAATGGCATCCACTTGGTTCGGAGAAGTGCCCGCGCGGCGAACAATGGCAAAAATACCCAAATGGCGGTGCTTATATTCGGGGATAGTCGGGTATACAATAACCGGTAATCCGACTAATCACACCAATGGCAACGAGGCCAACGGAGGATCAACATGAGCGGAACAGCAACATTGTACTGGTGGCCGCGTTGAAGCAGCTGCCGCAAGGTGCGGGAGTTGCTCGTACAGGCCGGGTTTGAAATACAGGAACGTGATTATTTCAAGGAAACCTTTAGCCGCGAAGAATTGTTGAACTTGTCGAAAGAAATCGGTGAATCGGGTATCGCCGCAATGTTTGCAACTCGCAGCCCGTCCTTAAAAAAGATGGGCCTCAATGCGAATGATCTGTCAGACGACCGCAAGCTTGAGTTGATGCTGGAGGAACCCCGCCTGGTGCGTCGTCCCATCGTGAAAGTGGGAGACCAGTTGCTGGTCGGCGCCAACATCAAAGCGATCACCGAAGCGTTGGCTATTTAGCGACAGCCCGTGATCGCATTCGCATACTATGCCTAAGGACATGTAACAGGACATGAAAATATTCTTTGACGTCGACTATACGATCTTGGGACTGGACGACACACTTCGACCCGGAACCACCGAAACATTCCAAAAAATCCTCGACGACGGCCATGAAATCTACATCTGGTCGGGCATGGGCGAGCGCTGGGAAGTCATCGAGAAACACGAGCTCGAACGATTCGTGAGCGGAGTTTATGAGAAACCCACGCACCATTTCCACGAACGCCTGGTGGAGTTGAAAATCCCGGTGGAACCCGAGTTTGTGATCGACGACTACCCGGAGGTAGTGGCTGCATTCGGAGGAGTATGGGTGCCGCCATACTTCTTCTCGCGCAGCATCGACAATGAAATGGACCGGATTTATCGCATCATTTGCGATTTCATCGAAACCGGCGCGTCGGAAGACCGCCAATACCGCGCCAAGGGAACCAAATTACCCCTGTTCTAACTCCGCCACAGGCCAGTGGCGCCGCGGCTGCCAACATACCGAGCGCCCCTGGCCGACGAGTCAACGCAGATGCCAATCAGACAGCTTCCCTCCGACGTAGCCTCCAAGATCGCCGCCGGTGAGGTTATCGAGCGTCCGGCTTCCGTAGTCAAAGAGTTGGTGGAGAACTCCATTGATGCCGGGGCCACCAGAATCGAGACGGTAATTCGAGAGGGCGGGGTCGCGGAGATCCGCGTTTCGGACGATGGTAGCGGCATCCCAGCCGACGAAGTTTCACTGGCATTTCTTCGCCATGCTACGAGCAAACTCACCACGGTTGACGAGTTGCAGTCCGTGGCAACCCTTGGATTTCGTGGCGAGGCGTTGCCCAGCATCGCCGCCGTTTCCCGCGCTACCCTGACCACACGAGCCACCGGAGCGGACTCAGGTGTCCGAATCCAGTTGAGATACGGCGAAACGGCCGGCCTCGATGAGGTGGGCTGCGCTCCGGGCACCACAGTGCAGGCGCAGGAACTGTTCGGCAACCTGCCCGCCCGCCGGAAGTTTTTGCGATCCTCCGCTGCGGAAACGGCACGCATACAGGAAGTTGTCAGCCGTTATGCGTTGGCGAGTCCGGGCGTCAAATTCACCCTCACCGCCGATGGTCGGACCATCCTGGATACACCGGGGAGCGGCCGCGCACGGGATGCGGTATTGTCCGTTTACGGGTCGGACATTGCCTCACAAATGCTGCCCGTGTTGCACGTGGACGGCGACATTTCCATTGACGGATTCGTAAGCACACCGCAAATCAGTCGCGGCAACCGGTCGTACATGACTTTGCTGGTTAATCACCGTTGGGTGTTTGACGGGTCCATCGCCTATGCCATCACACAGGCATACCAGGGGATGCTGCCGGACCGCCGGTATCCCGTTGCCGTAATCAACGTGGTGATCCCGGCCCACGCGGTGGACGTTAATTCTCACCCTTCCAAGCGGGAGGTTAGATTCCGCAACGCGGACCGACTGTTTTCTGCGGTGCACTACGCCGTCAGGGACGCTTTGCTGGCCCACGCTCCAGTTCGGCAGGTAGTCTCCGTCCCGACCCCGGTTCATACCGATGCGCCCGCAACCTCCGCTCCTGCTCAACCACACCTGGCTCCAGGAACATCGCACTCTCCCGCAGGCCCGCAGGCCTCATCGGGCCAAGCGCCTTTGCCAACGACTCAATTGGCCCCTTCAGCAGGATCTTTGCGCGAAGTGCTGGCGTCGCTGAGGGTGGTGGGCCAGATCAGGCAAACCTATATCGTGGCGGAGGGACCCGAGGGCATGTATCTGGTCGACCAACACGCCGCTCACGAAAGAGTCGTTTTCGACCGTCTGCGCCAACAGGCAAAAAACCAGCAGCGAATATCGCAACCCCTGCTGTCGCCCACGCCCTGCGATTTATCGATTGCTCAGGCTGCGACCATGGAGGAATACGCTGAGTTGTTGGAATCCTATGGGTTTGGCATTGAAGCGTTCGGCAACAACACCTGGTTATTGCGGGCGGTTCCAGCATCCCTGGCAGACGGTGGCAAGGGAGTTACCGACCCCGTTCGAATCCTGCTGGAGTTACTCGACGCCATCGCCCTGGAACAGGTCATTATGGGACGGGAGGATGCGCTGGCGGCAACGATCGCGTGCCACGGGTCGGTACGGGCCGGGATGAACCTGACGATAGACGAAATGTCGGCGTTACTGGAACAACTCGAGGTTACACCCGATCCTCACAGCTGTCCGCATGGTCGCCCCACCGTGGTGCGTTTCACCGAATACCAGCTGGAACGCGAATTTCGACGCCGATAGCAGAATCGTTGAGCGAGTCGATACTATCGGCAGCGCCGTTACCGGCGTGGATCAGACCGCGGGTCCTGCGCCGGATGGAATATTGAACCCGGTCCGGGAAATTCCGACGCCGCATCGCTTTGGGTAGTACGCCGCGCGAAAGGCAAAACCCCGACCAACACCGCCGCGCCTGCAACACCAAGCGATAACATCCCCAGGAACCGCCGCCGGGATGTTGCTTTCTGGTTGGTGTTGGTTTCTATCTGTTCTGTCACGATATTTACAGCTCCGGCGGTGGGCTGGTCGATAGCAGTGGTTCCGCTAACGCAGCAGGGCGCATTCGTTTCGCGCCCAAAATCTTAACAGTTGATTTGCCACGGTGTCAATCTGGTGCAAATCCTCGTAACTGTTCAGAGTCGAAGGTAATTTCCTGGCCCCAACCTGTCTTTCCCGCGAAAGCGGGAATCCAGGAAGCCGAGGAAAAGCAACATTGCGGTTAAAAGACGTCTCTGGATTCCGGCTCAAGGCCGGAATGACGGAGTGGTATAGAAATCACAAGTCGAGTCTGAACTGTTACAAATCCTCACGCGTACCCATTTTGTCATTGCGAGCGTAGCTTGGCAATCTCATCGCGATAGCAACGGCGGTTCGGCGACGTATATTCAACCTCATCGAGATTGCCACGTCGCCATGTTCCTCGTGATGACAGATTAAAGTGGGTACGCGTGAGGGTGCAAACCTGACACACGGAAATGGGGTTCGAATGATCACCATCCCGGGAACAATCTTGTGGACGCCACCGTTCGCGGCCACCTGGTTCAGACAACGGTGACGTATCTGCTATCATTGCGGGCGGTCATTGCGGCCGGCGGACGTCACCGACGTTCAACAACCCCAGAACGGGCAAAAGGAGCCAATGGACTGATGCAAGAAAATAAAGTGAAAAAGGCTCTCCGTGAAAATCGGCTGGCATTAGGCACCTACGTCACGTTTGCCGATCCGCAGATCATCGAGATCATTGGCTTGGCCGGATACGATGCCGCGTTCATTGACATGGAGCACACCACGTTTGATTTGACCCTGGTATCGGAGATGATTCGAGCGGCGGACGTGGTCGGTGTAACTTCCATGATTCGCGTCCCCGGCAACGACGAGCACCTCATCCTCCGCCTGTTGGATGCAGGAGCCAACGGAATCATCATCCCGCACATCGATGGCCTGGAAGGGGCGAAACAGGCGGTAAACGCAGTGAGGTACGCCCCGATGGGCACCAGAGGCGGCGCTGGCGGCACGCGGGCGGCACGCTTCGGCACCATCTCCTGGGAAGAGCACACCAGCTCATCCAATGACAACATCGTGCTTTCGGTGATGACCGAGGACGAAAAAGGCATCAGCGAGATTGGCGAAATCGCCAAACTCCCGGGTATCGACATTGTCGCCATCGGGCCGACCGACTTCTCCGAATACATGGGCATCCGCGATCCGCAGAGCCCGGTCATTCCGGCCCGGCTGGAAGAACTTGCCAATGAAGTAAAGGCAGCGGGTGGAGCCAAACTATCCATCCCGATGAATCACCCGGCCTACCCGCTGACCGCGCGGGAATTGCAGGACATGGGGGTTGGTTATACCCACGTAGCGCCTCCGCCGCCAGCTTTGCTGCTCCGCTCGCTCCGGGAACGCATTGCCAGCATTCGGTCCGAGTTGGGTGATTAACCGGACCGCCAGCAACAGGTGCCTCTAGGTTTGGTCCATAAATTCGGATTGCCCGGGCTGAGAAGGCCAATGTTGATGCAGGATCGGCCCGTTGATCAGGCGCGAACCACGTTGTCGCGAACGGCCATCGCGGTGCTGGCCGGTTTTCTGATGGTCGTATTATCGTGTACATCGGAAACGCCGCCATCGGCGCCACCCACGACGACCACTCCGACCGCATTGGCAGACCTAACCGCCACTCCAATGGCAATCGTGCCGCCGAGGGCTGTTGCGCCGGAAGATACGGCACCGGAAGTAACTGCGCCGCCGATTGCGCCAACGCAGCTACCAACTCAGGAGCCAGCGCGCCGCCTGATGGCAACCCAAACGGTATCGGCCCCTGCCCCGACCGTTGCATCGACCCCCATCCCAAGTGCGCTGCCCCCTAAACCGCCGGGTTCGGTGGTGCAAATAGGCGAAGCATCCTTTAGGGTCGATGTGGCGGTTACCGGCGCTGAGCGATCCCAGGGTCTGTCCGGTAGGGCGACACTCGAACCTGATACTGGCATGCTCTTCGTATATGATTCCGATGGGCCGAGAACGTTCTGGATGCCCGATATGCACTTTCCCCTGGACATGATATGGATAGGCTCCGATTGCGTGGTGAACGGAGTAACCGCCGACGTACCAAATCCCCCGGAAAACACCCCCAGGGATCAGTTGCCCAGGTATCCGTCGGATGGACCGGTCAGGTTCGTATTGGAGCTAAACGCCGGCCAGGCGGCGGCGCACGGAATAACCACGAATGACAAAGTACAGTTTATTGGCGACATCGCTGGGGCATGGGGCTGCTAGTCGCAACGCAACGAACTGCTTGCGGTTGCTAATCCGCGTCCGACACCACTTCAACTATTTCCAAAGGACAGCATCAAATGGACATTTTAGTATCCGGGTCATTGGCCATCGACCGGATAATGACCTACAACGGCCGGTTCGGCGACCACATAGTTCCCGAACGGGTGCACCAAATCAACGTGAGTTTCACGGTAGACGGATTTCACGCATACTTCGGCGGGACGGCCGGCAACATTGCCTATTCCCTCGCCATGCTGGGCCAACGACCCCGGTTGATCGCCGCCATCGGCCACGACTACCGGGATTATTTCGACTGGATGAATACCAATGGGATTTCTACGGAAGATATCCGGATAATTGATGAGGAGGCAACGGCTTCGGCCTTCATAACCACCGACCTGTCCGACAACCAAATTACCGGCTTCAATCCTGGTGCAATGAAATATGCCACCGGTTTCGATTTCGGGAAAGTGGATGCCGCCGAAACCATCAACATCGTTGCTCCCGGTAACCTAACCGACATGGCAGATTTTGCCGAGCAGGGAACTCGGTCAGGAATCTACACGATTTTCGACCCCGGGCAATCCCTGCCAGCCTGGGACGCCGACGGACTGGTGGCTGGAATCGGCCACAGCAACCTTTTGATCGCCAACGACTACGAAATGGCAATGATCGAAGAAAAAACCGGAATCGACGAAACCGGCCTGTTGGGCCTGACTGAAGCCCTAGTGATTACGTTGGGTGAACAGGGTGTCCGCATTGTGACTCCAGATGGATCTCTGACCGTTCCGTGCGTGAAAACCGAAAACGTGGTTGATCCAACCGGCGCCGGTGACGCGTTCAGAGGCGGATTGATTAAGGGTCTGATACAGAACGATAGCCTGGAACGCTGCGCCCAGATCGGATCGGCTTGTGCTCACTTTGCGATTCAGAAGCCCGGCACGCAGGAATACCGTTATTCCCTGGACGAGTTGGATGCCGTATTACGCCATGCTTACGGTGGTTAAACGGGCATGGCCGGAGATTGACGAACCCGACCGGCTGCGCTAGGCTTGGCAACTGCAGTCTTTGGCTGCCATTCGGCAAACCGACTACTAAACCCGGAGTTTGCGGCACATGACCCAACAGCAATCCCCCCCGCCAGCGCTAACGCCCGAAGTGCAGGCAATGGTCGGAGTGAGCGGCGAAATTGTAGAGTCCTGGGGCGTTATGGACGGCGAGTACATGCGGCGATTTACGCAAGCGCTCATGGATCCAGATCCCCGTTATTGGGACGATGATTTTGCGAAGTCCACCCGTTTCGGCGAGCTGATTGCGCCACCGATCATGGTCAGTTACATGGCGAGCCGGATTCGTCCGGATCAGGGCGACCCCATCACGGCGGCTTTCGAAGAAAACCCCGAATCGGACGGTATCGGATCAGTAGCCAGGCCGGGCGAGTTGCCGCCAGTACCTACGAACCTGGTGCGCGTCCTGAACGCCGGCAACGAAATCGAGGTTTTTTGCTTACCCCAGAATCGGGGACAAAATCTTTTTCCAAAACCGGTATTCCGACATACGGGAGCGGTTGGGCCGAGACGGCACGCCGTTTCTCATTATTACCAGGGAGACGCGTTACTGGAATCAGGATGACGTGACCCTGTGCATCACCCGAGCTTCCACGATACGCCGCTAACCGGCGCCACCGCCGGCCACAGCAATCTGTTACTACCTGAACGGCGCCGTGGCCCACTGGAGATATCAGAATGAGTACCCCATTGGAAGAGTTACTCAACATGGAACCCGAGGACATCTGGCGGCGCAACGAGCGTCCGGATGCCGATGGCCTTCGCGATAAGCGCCAAATCTATTACGAAGACGTCAACGAGGGGGACGAACTCCCTAAATACGTTTACAAGCCAACGCCAACACACCTGTTTCGATGGAGCGCAGCCATCGAAAACTTCCATCGGATCCACTACGATCTTGGATTTCGGTCTGAACCATGACCGCAACCCCAGCATCCTGGTACATGGATCATGGAAACAAAGTGTTGTTCCGCAATTCCTCAAAGACTGGACGCTGCCCAACGGTTGGCCATGGAAAGCCCGGTTTGAACATCGGGCCATGTTGGTGCCTGGCGATATCCTGATCATGTGGGGCCGCGTTACCAGCAAGTACGAAAGTAACCAGATGGGATTCGTAGAGCTGGAAATCGGCATGAAAACCCATGACGGTGTTGAAAGTATGCCCGGTACTGCAACCGTGGTCCTGCCGCTGCGAGACGGCCCACCCATCCCCTATCCATTTGTGCCCCCCAACGAAGCTTAGCCCACGCCCTCATTGACGCTCACTGGAGTTTGAAACCATGGCTCGATTCATCGCCGTCCACAACGTTCCGGGAATCACCGAGGCTGATTTTCGTGACAGACTGGACGCCGTCCGCAAATGGCGCCCGGACCGGCGCACCACCATCCTGAAAGTGTATGGCGACCTGGAAAGCGGAAAGCTAATATCCGAATGCGAAGCCGTCGAGCAGGCTCATTTCGAGGACTGGCTGAATATGGTCGGTTGGCCGGCCGAATCCATCAATAAAGTGGACATCATTTGCCAGGTGGGCAGCTTTTGGAAACTGTGATACGACCGCTCACCCGTTGAACTGACGCCGGCCAGGGACGTAAAACCCCCTGGCCAACGTGTATCCGTCGCCGTCGCAATAACGGATCTACACCTACGCCCGGACACCACCGTACCGACGCCGCGGTTGGTGGGAATCCTTACTTAAGGAACCATCCAGGGCCTGGTATGGGTCCATCGTTATGGTAGATGGATTGGGAGTACGCCGAAATCGCGGCTCCAAATGCGAGGATCAAGGACGTTGCGAACATCCAAATGAGGAATACCAGCAGGGATGCCAGTGGCCCGTATAGCGAGTGCGAAGGGGCAACGTAGCCAAGAAACAAGGCGAAAACATCGCTGACCAATGTAAAAGCGATGCCGGCCGAGCAGGCCGATAGTGTGGCCCATCGCCACATCACCCGGCGTTCCGGAACATATCGGTAAATCATCAAAAACGCTGCCGACGACACCATCCAGGCCAACGCGTTCGACCACCAGATTTGTGCACCCAACCGGCCAGCAAACTCATACAGGTGCGCCTCGCGAAGCAACCTTGGCAGCAGATCCTGCGTCATCAAATAGATCAATACACTGGAAACCAGCAGCGCAAACGCCGTGCCGCTCAGGTACATAAACTCGCGCGTTCTGGCGAAAACCCCCACCTGCGTCGGTTCAATGCCCCACATGCGGTTGACCACCACTCCTACTGCGCCGAACAGCTTGTACGAGCCCCATGTCAATCCAATGAGCGCCAGCGCCGCGGCCACCCCCGCGCTCGCCGGATCCTGGGCAGCGGCCACCAATCTGAGGTCAATGCCGGCCGGAAGCAATCCGGCGGTCAACTTCGCATACCAGTCTTCCGACCGATCCGTCCCCAAAACGGCCCCAAACACTTGCAGAATTCCAACGGAAATTGGAATCACAAATACGAGGCCGTAATAGGCAACACCGGCGGTAAGCTGTTGCGCGTCGTTTCGAGTAACCGCTGCCAGAGTGGCCAAAACAACGCGTAGTGGTCGCCACCGGATCGCCGCTTGCTCAACCGACAGACCAAATTTGGTCAACAACGGGTTTGCGGTTAACGTCTTCGCAACGAGTCCCAGGATTTGCTCCACCGATATCATGGCACGGGTAGATGCCGTCTCGGTTGAGTGGAGTGCAGCCTGGCGTGTCGAAGGGAGCCCGGCGGCCATATCAGCCACACGGTGCCCAGGATCGACCGGATCGAAACTGGCCCGTACCGGCGGCTATCCAGGCTGTCGGACCGATTATCCCCCATCACGAAATATTCGTTTTCGCCGCATATCCATTGCGAGGCCCATGCTGCAGGAACCTGATTACCAGCATCAAGATACAACTCCGGCGCAAGGACATCATCAATAAACACGGCGTTGGACTGGTCGATTCGAACATGCTCCCCCGGCATTCCGACCACACGTTTGATGTCGCACCGGAGATCGTATTCCGGTGGTCTCAGCACCACCACCGCGCCTCGGGAGATGTGTCCAATTTGCAACGCCATCGGAATTACATGAACCCGATCCCCGGAGCGCAAGCACGGAGCCATACTAGCCCCGCTCACGACAAAATGAGAGCGGAACACGAACTTGATCACGCCGACTGCGATACGTCGCGCACGGTTGAGCATACGGAAATTGTATCGCAAGGCCGTGGCCACCGGCACCACAAAACCAGTCCGGTAAACACGATTTACCGCGGTTCACCGGTCACGGACGAGACAACGGAGGAGGTCTGGCTTCAGGATTTCCCGACACCAGATTCACGTCCTTAGGCGAGCGCAATCTTGCCGACGGAAGACCGATAGATCATTGCATAATTCTTGAGAATGTTAAAAGTTATGACTACCCGTTATTGACAAACGTGCTACTCTTCATTATATTTTCGGATATACTGAACCGGAACGCACGATAACTTTCGCGGTTCGGCGCAAGTATAGTAATCAAGCATAGTAATATTGTTACGAGCCTTAAATTATGGAGGTATATCATGAATCAAGCACAACAGAATATCGCTCTTCTCACGTCAGGACTTGCTCTTGGAGTCATCGCCGGGATTCTGCTGGCGCCACAGAGCGGGCGAGACACCAGAGACGAATTGCGCCAGCGTGCCGTCAGCGCCAGTAGCGTCGGCAGGGACTACCTGCAGCGGATACGCAACCGGGGCGCCGACGATGTCGCCGAACTGACCGAAGGTTAGTATGGCCGTCGCCGGATTATTTGGCGTTGCGATATAAAACAGAGCCTGATACCGGAGGCACAATATGAAACGCAAGAGACAAACTACGTTGGGGTTGTTGTCCGCCGGCGTGGCCATTGGACTGGCTGCAGGTATCCTGCTCGCACCCAAGAGCGGCAAAGAAGCCCGCGCCAACGTGTCTGAACGTGCCGGTGGTCTTGGAACAAAGCCAACGGTGTCTGGCGGTTTCTGAGCCGTCGCGGGAAATCCGAACCCGAAGTGATGCCACTAGACGAACAGGTAACGGCCGGTCGGGATTAGCCGGCCGGCGTAGCGCGTTCTACGAATCGAAAACAAGCCCCTATTTTTGGGGATTCAGGTGAAAGGAAGGTCAGATTGACCGAAAACGCAAAACGTAACCTGAGTCTGCTTGCTGTGTCCACAGCGCTAGGGGTCGCTGCTGGCTTCCTGATGGCGCCTCAGTCCGGTCGGGAATCGCGCAGTTCCATGAAACGTGGCATAGAAAAAACCTATCGGCTCATGTCATCGATCAGGAGAGCGCCCGCCGCCACGGCGTCCAGCGAACCGCCGGCCGGCTACGTCGGGACCCCCGGACCTTACCCGCATAGTTAGGTTAAGTCAGCGCGGGCGACACGCTCTTAGCGCATGATGGCCAAAGTAAGACCGGCTCCCAAGTGGGCCGGTCTTACTAATTGGGGCGTTCTGGCGTCGGTTCAGTCGTGTGGCGGTTCCCACGTCGGGTAGGAACCCAGGATCTTCAACATGTCTACCCTTTGCCTCAGACCCTCCAAAGCCGCCGCTACGTCCGTTTCCTGGCGGTGGCCAGCCAAATCGATCAGGAATATGTAACGCCCCAGCGCCTGTTTGGTGGGACGGCTTTTCTATTTTCACGAGATTAATGTTTCGTTGGGCAAACTCGCCGATGCAGTGGTACAAGCTTCCGGGTCGATCAACGGTGAACGAAAAACAGATCGATGTCCGGTCATGTCCTGTCATGGCGTGATCAGTTCGGGCCAACACAGCGAACCTGGTCTGATTAATCGGATTGTCCTGAATGCCACGATCCAGCACTTGGACGTCGTACAGTTCTGTAGCCCGTTGAGGACAGATGGCCGCTGCGGGTACGGAGCTGCCCTGCATGTCAGCCACGGCAGCAGCAGTGCTTAGAGAAGCCTCATTTTGCGCCAATGGGAATCTGGATTCCAGATAAGCGCGGCACTGCGCCAATGCCTGCGGGTGAGAAAATATTACACGGACCTGATCCGCTTCCACACCTGGCGGTGCAACGAGAAAGTGATCAATCGGTATCACCACCTCATTCCTGATGGATAATCCGGTTTGAGTGATAAGCAAGTCTTGAGTAAATGTAACCGAACCCTCCAGGCTGTTTTCTATGGGCACTACCCCGGCATCCAGATCACCGTTGGCTACGCCAGCGCCCACTGCATTGATGGTCGGCAACGGCGTGAACTCAGCCTCCGGGGCATATAGCAGGGCTGCCTGCTCGGTGTAAGTCCCTGCCGGCCCCAAATACCCGATGCGCTCACCCATCTTCTACCCTCCTCCGCATCCAGTGCCCTAACCACCGAAACCGCGTGGCCTGTAGCGTGCGGACCCGTCGATTCCATTTTGCCGCGTTGTTACCGCGACCAGGAATGCTCTGAATTATCGCCATCAAATTGTTTATCCCAGGAATCAGGAGAATTATATCCGCCGCCGCAACTCAAGGGCAACGAAACCCATCTCCCGTTCGCGGAACTACCTTCAGACGCAGCGCACCGTGGGGCTACCGCCTGAAGGTCCGTTCAATGTCTTCATGATTTCCCACGACAAACAGTACGTCACCATCGCCGATGGTTTCATCGTCGCCGGGATTGATTATGTACTCAGCACCTCGGCGCAGGATGAGCACCGAAACCCGGCGGCGTGACTCTGACGTCAATCCCAACTCCCTGAGCCGATGCCCCCGCATTCGGTCGGGCGGTCTCAGCTTGTGCACACCCGCAGAATCCGTAAGGTCCATATACTCAATAGTGTTCGGCGTCAGGTCCAGGCTGGCGGTGCGAATTGCGGCATCTTCCTCTGGAAACACAATCTTGTCAGCGCCAACGCGGTGCAGAATCTCGGCATGCTGAGTGTCGGTCGCGCGGGCTATCACGAAGGGCAGCCCCATGGTTTTGAGCAGCATGGTTGAGATGATGCTGGACTGCAGCTGGCTACCGAGGGCAACCACCGCAACGTCCATCTCAGCGACACCCAAATCGCGCAGGGCGATTTCATTGGTGCCGTCCGCTTCGACGGCGTACGTCACCTGGCCCAGCAACGACTGGACTCTTAGCTCGTCGCTATCGATGGCCAACACTTCGTGCTGTCGCTGAAACAGGGTGCTCGCAAGTTTGGTCCCAAAGCGACCCAGACCGATTACGCATATAGATTTTGGCATAATTGTTTCACCCAATTCTAACGGGTTCTTCCGGGTAGCGGTAGGACGTATCTGTACGCGGTGCCAGCAGCATTACCAACGTCAATGGCCCTATCCGCCCGACCAGCATGGTAATCATGAAAATAATTGAGCCGGCGAAGCTGAGTTGAGCCGACGCACCCCCGGACATACCGTTGGTCCCAAATGCCGAGATGGTTTCGAACATCAGGGAAACGAACGGGATGTTTGGGTCGGTATAGGTCAATATTGGTATCACCAAACCCAGAAACACGATGCCCAACAGGGCGACCAGCAAGGCGCGAGACACCAGAGCCGGGCCGATTTCGCGTCGGAAGATCTCGGTTTGAGCATGGCGCAGGACCGATGAGCGGGCGGCGACCAGGATCACCGCCAACGTGTTTACCTTTATACCGCCGGCCACCGAGGCGGTGGAACCCCCAACGAACATCAAACCGCAGTAGACCAGTTGGGTAAAGTCTACGGTTGCGCTCCAGTCCAGCGCAGCGAAACCGGCAGTTCTCCCGCTAACGCCGTGGAATATCGAAGAACCCACTTTTCCCAGAAAAGAATTGCCGGCGAGGACGCCGTTCCATTCTCCAAAGAGGAAAATCAGGGCACTGAACGCGTATAACGTTGTCGTGAATATCAAAACCAACTTGGTGTCCAGCGACAACCTGTAGAAATTGAAAGGCAGCCAACCGGTCCAACCGCGAAAAGTCAGGTTCGTACGCCAGTTTCGGCGTATGTCGGCGATCAGCGGCCATCCGACCGCACCCAGGATGATCAGCGGCGTGATGACACCCATTAGATAGGGATACGATCCCAGAGTGTCGGCGTTGTTCCCTGATGGGGCGTTGGGCAGGATCGAAAACCCGGCATTGTTCAGCGCCGAAACCGAAAGGAACAGGGATTGCCAGGCTGCCTCCTCGATTGAAAACCCGGCGATCGTTCTCATTCGCAAAAACAGCAGCACCGCTCCTGCCGCATAACCGATAACAAACGCCACCACGATATTGCTGGCCGTGCGCCCGATGTTGTGGGAATAGCCCGAACCGACGGTGTCCTGATAAACATCTTCCTCTACTGCGGTAGCCCGGCGGCCGACTATGGCTATGAGAACCGTTGCAGCCGTTATGAACTCCAGGCCACCCAGCAACATGAGGAAAAATATGATGACCTGGCCGAACAACGACCAATATACCTGCGTGTCAACTAACACCAGTCCCGTAACGGTGGAAGCCGAGACGGCAGTGAAAAATGCCACCTGAAAGCTGGCGCCGGTCCCATCCACAGCCGCCCAGGGCAGATAGAGGAGCACCCCACCCACCAGGTTAATGAGTACAAACGCTCCCAGCAAAATGATGGGGGTTGAGGACCAGCGACGCGGCGGCACGCGCCGGCGGATCGGCACACGCACGGCGTGTACTTCCCGCAGGGGAGACGATTGTGACGGCAAGTCAGTCGACAATTGATGCCGCGGTTAGAATCGGCGCACCGGTTGGGAGCGGACGTCGGATGAAAAGCTCACTGGGCGCTGCAGCGCAAACGGTGGCGCAAACATTAAGGTAGTTAGTTCTGGCCATCGGTAGGGATGATGCACGACTTTCGGCAAGATTTTATGTTCGCCCGCTGAAAGATGTCAACCAAACCCTTGCCTCGGATGCATCAACGTTTTTCGGCAGGCACGCCGGCCGCCGGAATTATCCCACCCTGGTGTTATACTGCATTCCTGAGTCCGGGCGTGCTTATCCGGCATGTGCTAATATGAGGCGCGAACCCGCAACGTTGGTTTGCCAGGCCGCATCCAGGCTGGGTCAGGCGCCAACCTGAGACGCAAACTATAGTTGATTTTCACAGGGGAAATTTCCAATGACTACGGGCCAACGGCAGGTTGAGCTTCGGTTCGATGCAGTAGCGATCGATCGCAAGTGGCAAGAGCGTTGGGAGCGCGACGGTATCTATCGGGTTGAAGACGAAGATCCGCGTCCCAAATGGTTCGAGATGACGATGTACCCGTATCCGTCGGGTGACTTGCACATCGGTCACTGGTATGCCTTGGCGCCATCGGACGCCCACGCCCGTTTCCGGCGGATGCAGGGGTACAACGTGCTGCACCCGATCGGTTTTGACGCCTTCGGGCTGCCGGCGGAAAATGCCGCGATATCCCGAGGTATCCATCCCTACGAATGGACAATGTCCAACGTAGATAACATGAGACGCCAATTGCGTTCGATAGGGGCGGTGTATGACTGGGACCGCGAAGTGGTATGTTGCCTCCCCGAATACTATCGCTGGAACCAGTGGTTCTTCATAAAATTGTACGAGCAGGGTCTGGCTTATCGTGCCAAAGCGCCGGTGGTGTGGTGTCCGTCGTGTCAAACCGTCTTGGCCAACGAGCAGGTGCTGAACGGAGTATGCGAAAGGTGCGACACACCGATAACCCGCCGTGATCTGGAGCAGTGGTTCCTCCGTATCACCGACTACGCGGATCAGTTGCTGAATTTTGACACGCTGGAAGAGTGGCCTGACAAAATCCTGACCATGCAACGCAACTGGATCGGCCGCAGCGAAGGCGTTGAAATCGGTTTTGACATTTCCGAGAACGGATTGGACGAACGCGAAATCAAAACCTTCACGACCAGAATAGATACCATTTTCGGGGTAACATTTTTGGTCCTGGCGCCCGAACACCCGCTGGTTACGCTCCTGACCTCCAATAGCCGGCGAGAAGAGGTTGAGGCGTATATCGCCCAGGCCCGCCGCACATCTGAAATCGACCGCCTGTCAACCGACAAAGACAAGACCGGTGTGTTCATTGGCTCATACGCCCGCAACCGGTTGAACGGCGAACAAGTGCCGATTTACATCGCCGACTACGTGCTAACCACCTATGGCACGGGCGCCGTGATGGGTGTGCCGGCTCACGACTCCCGGGACTTGGCGTTCGCGCGCAAGTATCGGTTGCCGATTCGCACGGTCATCGCACCCATCGAATGGGACGGCAGTGAACCAAAGGATGCGTACCTTGGCGAAGGATTCATGACCAATTCCGGCGCCTACGACGGTATGACCGACCAGGAGGGTATGAAGGCCGTTGCCAACGACGTTGAACGCCGGGGTTGGGGCCGACGAGCCGTTACCTACCGGCTGCGTGACTGGCTGATATCCAGACAGCGCTACTGGGGTACGCCGATTCCCATGGTGTATTGCGACGCATGCGGCGTGTCTCCGGTGGCCGAAGTCGATCTCCCAGTTCTGCTGCCAGAAGACGCAGAATTTCGTCCGACCGGCGAATCGCCCCTGGCCATCAACGCTGATTTCGTCAATACCGAATGCCCGCAGTGCGGTGGACCGGGTCGGCGTGAAACCGACACCATGGACACCTTTATGGATTCATCGTGGTACATGCTGCGCTACTGCAGTCCCAGGTACGACGGTGGTCCATTCGCCCCTCAAGCCGCTTCAGACTGGATGCCGGTGCGGCAATACACCGGTGGAGCTGAACATGCCGTGATGCACCTGCTTTACAGCCGGTTTTTCATCAAAGCCCTGCGCGACATGGATATGCTCAACATCGACGAACCGTTCCTGAGGCTGTTCAACCAGGGAGTGATTCTGGGTCAGGACCACGAGAAGATGAGCAAAAGCCGCGGCAATGTGGTCAACCCCGACGATGTGATCGATCAGGTGGGAGCGGATGCCGTCCGGTGTTTCCTGATGTTCATCGGGCCCTGGGATCAGGGTGGGCCGTGGAGTGACGAAGGAATAAATGGCGTCGTGCGTTGGCTCAACCGCGTTTGGACCGTCGTGGAGCAGGATGCGGCTCTTTTGGACCAGGCTCCATCTGACCCCGTAGCCGTCAGGGAAACCCAGCGCGTTTTGCACCAAACAATCCGCAAATGCTATCAGGAACTGGACCGCTTCAAATTCAACACGGCCATCGCGGCGCTGATGGAACTCCTGAACCACCTGAACAAAGTGTGGAATGATCGGTCAGTGGACTCTTCGATCTGGCAGGAATGCGTCGAAAAATTCCTCCTGATGCTTGCCCCCATGGCGCCGCACGTAGCCGAGGAGATGTGGGAGCGCACGGGTCACGCCTACAGTATTCACCAGCAGTTGTTCCCAACCTGGGATGACGAACTGGCTGCCGAGGAGGAAATAACCCTGGTGGTCCAGGTCAACGGTAAGGTGCGCGACCGCATACCCGTCCCGGCTGGCATCGCCGAAGCGGACGCCAGGGAGCTCGCCCTGGGTAGCCAACGGGTACAGTCCCATATCGACGGCAAGACGTTGAAGAACGTCGTTTACGTACCCGGACGGTTGGTGAACGTTGTCGTTGGCTGAAAAAGATATCGTGGTTTTTCGGTTGGGTTGGAAGCGATATGACGCTGGTAGATAAATACGCTCTGCTCCCCGAGGAGATTGACCGGCAAAGTCTGTTGATGGTTGCTGACAGCCTGCGGGACAGCGCTTCCACCGGAAACCTTACAGACGAACAGCGATATGTGCTGCATCGCATCGTACGCGCGGAAGGCGATCCCGAAATTGCCGCTGACGTTCGGTTCAGTTCGACCGCAATCGAATCTGCAATTGCTTCATTGAGGCACACCAAACGTGTGGTTACCGACGTCCGCATGGTCCAGGTCGGGATGTCCCGGGCCGCACTCGCCAAAAACGGCGTTGAAACTTCGTGCCTGATCGACGCCCCCGAGGTCGCCGACCGGGCGCGTCGCGAAGGCACGACGCGCAGCGTAGCGGCAGTTCGGGAGCTGGCGCCTCAAATGGACGGCGCAGTTGTCGCCATCGGGAACGCGCCCACCGCGTTGTTGGCGCTTCTCGACCTTATTGATGCCCAACAGGTGGCGCCGGCGGTGGTGATCGGAATGCCGGTGGGGTTCGTGGCATGTCCAGAATCAAAACAGGAATTGGCCGCGCGTAATATACCGCACATCACGATCCTGGGGCGACGGGGCGGTAGTTCTGCAGCGGCAGCCACAGTAAACGCTTTGCTGGATTTGTTGGGAGGTTAGTAGATTATGACCGTCGGGAATCAAACCGACACCGGCCCTGGCGGCAGCGCTAACGATCCTTCAAAATGGGGAGTAGTCCTGCTGTGCCACGGCAGTCAGCGCGGCGCGAGTCGGGACGAGTGTTCGTGCGCTTGGTCTGCTGATGGATCCCGGTTCCCCGCCTGGTGCCCAGGTTGTCCCAACACCCCCGTGGGGTTGAGAGAGGTTGCCAGACGGCTTGCCACCGACCTGGAAAACGATGTATCGCAAATAATTGTGTCCTGCCTGGAGTTCCTGCCTCCGCATCCTCCGGAGGCCGTCTCGATACTGGCCGACAGTGGTGTCAACCGCGTGGTCGTCGCGCCCTATTTGTTGGGCAACGGAAAACACGCCACACTGGAGATGGAGGAAGTTCTCGAAGATGAATCGTGTGGTTGGGGGGGGGGGGGGGGGGGGGTGGGGTGGGGGTGTGGGTGGGGGGGTGGGGGGGGGGGGGGGTGTGGGGGGGGGTGGGGGGTGGCGGATGGCGCTGGGGTGTAGAAGTGATAATGGCGGAGGGAGATGGGGTACGGGCATAGGAATTGCCCCTCGTACGGGACCGCATCGCCGCGCTTCCGGACGGCGCAGCAGAGCCTACAGACGGGAAACCCATCGGGGTGCTGATCGTTAAGGCCGGCACCCAAACGCGATACGACGATTGCGCCTGGTTGAAGGAACTCGGAAGTTGGGTAGAACGCGATTTGGGCAGTGGTTTCGCGGTTACCGTGGCCCAATCCCACTACGGCGACCCCACAATGGAGCACGCCGTCGCCGAGCTGGTGAAGGAAAGGAACGTGGGAAGCCTGATCTGCGTACCGTATATTTTCTTTCCAGGACTTATTTTGCAGCGCAATGTTTTGGGTACTATGGCTAAACTCCGCGAGGAATACCCCCACGTTCCCATGTGGGTTGCCCCACCGTTGGGTGTGGACGACAGGTTGGTTGCGGTGGCCAGCGACCGAGTTCGCGCAGCAAAGGCACTCTCCTGACCGCCGTTCGCCGCACGACATTTCAGCGGCGCGATCCCAATACTGACGGTTGCCGATCCCACATCGACCAGCGGTGTGAGACTCCGGCGATCTTGGCTGGTCAGTGAGTCACGGCTCGCGCATTGGCAAGTTTCCCAGAGCTTGATAGATAGGGTAGAATTGACGAAGTGGCTGCAACATTTGGCAAAAGCAACCCCGAACAGGCACGATGAGCACAACTGACGACACGGCGCAATTCCAGGACAGGCCGGAAAGCGATTATTCCCGCCCAACCAAGCGTGATCCCAAAGGAATGCGGACCGGATACACGACTGGAACTACCGCAGCGGCGGCGGCCAAAGCGGCAGTAATTCTGATGCTGTCGGGAAAGGCTCCCGAAAGTTTCGGTGACACTGCCGGGTGGTCGCGGACCAGCGTTGTTGAAAATCCACCGCAGTTGGCCCATGGACCCGGCGGAAGGCGTCCGTTGTTCAGTAATCAAGGACGGCGGAGACGACCCCGACGTTACCCACGGGGCGGAGATCATCGTGGGAGTCTGGCGTCTGCCCGACGGCAACAAGGGATTGCAAATTACCGGTGGGCCGGGCGTAGGAACGGTAACCCGTCCTGGCACCGGCATTGAAGTGGGCGAACCGGCGGTAACGCGCGTTCCCCGGCGCATGATGTCCGACGCCGTCGCTCAAGGGTTGATCGAGTGCGGGTGGCCCCCGGAAACCGGAGTCCGAACACGCATAACGGTGCCCAACGGCGAAGAAATAGCCAAACAGACCACCAACGCCAGACTTGGAGTGCTGGGCGGTATCAGCATCCTGGGAAGCACTGGCGTGGTGCAACCTTTCAGCACCGCGGCCTGGCGGGCCAGCGTCCATCTGGCGGTGGATGTAGCGGCCACCAACGGCCTTGATCATCTCGTATTGTCCACGGGTACGCGCAGCGAAGAATACACGCGCCGGTTGCTGGAATTGCCTGACATGGCCTACATCGAAGCTGGTATCTTCTCTGGCCCATCGATGAAACGGTGCGTAAACAAAGGCATCAAGCGCGTCGCCCATGTGGGGATGGTTGGCAAGTTCTCCAAGATGGCGATGGGATATTTTGTTACGCACGTGGCAGGTAACCGTGTCGACACCGAGTTTTTGGCCCAAATCGCCGGGCAATGCGGTGCGTCGGAGTCATTGCAGCAGGAAATGCGCGAAGCCGCCAGCGGCCGGCATTTCCAGGAACTGGCTCAGGAACACGGCGTAATGTCGGTGTTCCCCCTGATGTGTCAACTCGTATGTGAACAGGCGCAAAAATATCTTGGCGACGATGGACCGTCAATCACCGTTGATGCGTTGTGTTTCGACTTCGAAGGCAACCTGCTGGGCGCCGCCAGTACCTCACCAGACGGTATTCCCATGCGCGATCCGGCAGCGCTGGCGACGGATGGTCAGGGGTAAACCATTGGGAAACGTGGAACGGGCGGAGATAACCTGTCGTCGATTCGGGTTGCCCGATCATGCGTTTGAACAAAGGCGTCCCTTGCGCGGTCAGATAACCAAATCGGAAGCAAGAGCGGTGAGTCTGCACGCACTGGGTTTGCGTATCGGCAGCATTGTTTGGGACATCGGAGCCGGAACCGGATCGGTAGCCATCGAGGCTGCCCGCATCGCCTCCCAAGGGCGCGTTTACGCTGTGGATCGTGACGACGCCAATTCGCACCTGTTGGAGCAAAACGTAAAAAAGTACGGGGACGGGCGAGTCTCCGTGATTATTGGAGAAGCACCCGGCGTTTTGGCAAACCTTCCCGATCCAGACGCGGCATTCATCGGCGGCGGCGGCAGAGCCCTCCCGGAGATTCTGGTCGCCGTTGTCCCACGGTTGCGGCCTGCCGGGCGCGTGGTCGCGAATTTCGCGGCAATCGAAAGGGCTAACTTTGCCTACAAAAGCCTGCGCGATGCCGGTATGTCACCCGAGTTGACAATGGTAACCGCCGCACGGGGACGCGAACTACCCGACGGGGCGCTGCGATTGGAATCCATGAATCCTGTCTTTGTGGTCTGGGGACAGCGATGACGTTATCGAGGCCCACGGGCACACCAGTCGGAACCCTCTACGGAGTTGGCGTTGGACCCGGAGATCCTGAGCTGCTCACGCTGAAGGCCCAGCGTGTGCTGCAATCGGTGCCAATTATCTGGGCTCCCCAGGCGGGCGTCAGCACGGAAAGCTACGCTTATAGTATCGCCAAGGGTTTCATAAACGAGGAAACGCAGGAAGTGGTCAAGTCCACCTTCCCGACCAACGACGAAGAAGCGGCTGGCGAAGTATGGCGGGTTACGGCCCGGGAAATCGCAGAGCGCCTGGAAGTCGGCCATAATGTGGCGTTCATCACCGAGGGCGACCCCATGTTGTACAGCACATTTTGCCTATGTGCTGGAAACCATCTTGACCGAATTTCCGCACCTTCCGGTTGAGATAGTCCCGGGTGTTTCGTCCGTCATGGCGGCAGCCGCTTCGGCCGCAGCCCCTCTGGTCACCCACGGACAGAGGCTGGCCATTTTGCCGGCGGTCTATGGTATCGATGACCTGCGAGAAGCCATTGCCTTGTATGACACCATTGTGCTGATGAAAGTAAACCGCACATTGTTGGACGCGCTGGCTAACCTGGAACGGTTGGGCCTGGCAGGACGAACCATTTATGTCCGGCGGGCGAGCACCGAAAGCGAACGGGTGGTGCAGAATATCCAGGAATTAACTTCGGAAGACCTGGACTATTTTTCGCTACTCATCATCAGGCGATAGCCGGCAGCGGTTGACGTCGAAGGATTTTTACATCGTGAATAGCGGAAAAGTCTACATCATTGGAGCCGGGCCAGGCGACCCGGAGTTACTCACGCTAAAAGCGAAGAGAATTATCGAACTCGCTGACGTCATTATTTATGCGGATTCACTGGTTCCGGAAGAAATAGCCGGGTTCGCGAAATCGGACGCTCAAATCTACGGCAGCAAGGAAATGTCGTTGGACCCAGATCATGTCGGTGACCCTGCAGGCCGTGGCTGACGGCCGGGTGGTGGCGCGGATCCAGAGCGGCGACCCATCGCTCTATGGCGCAACCCTCGAGCAGATGAGAATTCTGGAATCACAGCAAATCGACTACGAAATCATTCCGGGCGTCAGCGCGGCTTTCGCCGCGGCAGCGGTCCTGAAATCAGAGCTGACCGTGCCCGAAGTTTCGCAAACCGTAATCATGACCAGGGCTGAGGGCCGGGTGCCCATGCCAGAAGGCGAAGACCTGATCAGCCTCGCGCGCCATGGCAGTACGTTGGTGATTTTCCTCAGCGTCACCCGAATGTTCCGTATCGCCAACCAACTGCAGGAAGCCGGATATCCGGCGGATACGCCGGTAGCGGTCGCGTATCGAGTCGGGTGGCCCGAAGAACTCATCATCCGGGGCACGCTGACCGATATCGCTCAAAAAGTCAGGGATGCGAAAATAACGCTCCAGGCCCTCATTATCGTGGGCAAGGCGGTGGACCCGAAACTGCTGGATCCCAATGCCGGTGAGAAAGTCGCTGTATCGCATCTTTATTCCGACGAATACACGCACTTGTACCGCCGGGCGGGGCAGGGAGCTCATGCGGACGCCGACCGGGCGGAGCTGTATACCGCTGGTGGGTACGAAGTGCAGCCCGAAGCGGCGGCATCGGCGCCACCGGATGGCAACGATTAGTTCTCAGCGGTGACACCGAGTCCTGAAATTGCGTCGACCGCCGTGGTAGCGGTTTCCAGACCTGGATCGATACTGGCACGCCAACTGGCGGCTGGTATCGTTGGTTGCCAACTGTACCTGGAACGCAAGACCGGTTATCGGGACGGCGATGATTCAAACTCCGTCACCTACTACGACCTGCCGTTGCGGCCCGTTTTGCAGAAAATATTCAGCGATAACCGACGATTGGTGGTTTTCCTGCCCGTTGGCGCCACTGTCCGGATTCTGGCGCCGTTGCTGGTTAACAAAACCAGCGACGCCGCCGTCGTGTGTGTTGACGACGCCGGTCGGCACGCCGTCAGTGTATTGTCGGGGCATCGTGGCGGAGCCGACGCTCTGGCCAGGGAAGTCAGCGCTGCCATCGGGGCTGCCGCCGTTATTACCTCTGCTTCGGATGCGTTGGGTGTAACTCCCGTGGATATCGTCGGGCGAGAATTGGGATGGGCTGTTGAAGCAACCGCCACTGAGCTGACGCGTGCGGCGGCGGCGGTGGTAAACGGAGACCGTGTTGCACTCTGGATAGACCCCGAGGCTAATGTGTCCTGGCCATGCGCCGTGCCCCTCGGGAAAAATATCGTGGCCGTCGACGCCATTGCCGACGTTCTTGATGGCGCGTTTTCAGCCGCGCTATTGGTAACCGACGGACTCACTCCTCTGCACGGGGCCATCAGGGAGGCTGGTATATCGCTGGTTGTCTACCGACCGCCCACTATGGTGGCCGGCATAGGATGCCGTCGCGGTGTAGAGGTTGAACACCTGCGCGAGCTATTGGCGCGCACGATGGAAGCCCACGCATTGTCGATCAAGTCTGTGGCCGCGTTGGCCACCGCAGACATCAAAGCCGACGAGGATGGCATTGTAGAGTTGGCCGAAGAATTCGGCGTCCCGCTGCATACATTCACACCCGACCAGCTGAATGATTCCGTCGCTGGTCATGGCAAAACCACGGACTCCGCTTGCGGAGTGATCAGACCGACCCCGTCCGCTGCTAACCAATTGCTGGGAGTCTACGGCGTGTCTGAGCCGGCCGCCATGCTGGCAGCAAATTCCAGGGGGTTGATTGTTCCTCGAACCAAATCCGATCGGGCAACGGTGGCGGTGGCCCGCATCGAGCCGCGCCCAAAGGACTATTGATGAATATAGGCAAATTATATTTGGTTGGACTCGGCCCTGGCGATGCCGGCCACCTTACTCCGGCAGCCATGGACGCCATTTTCGAAAGTGACGAACTGGTGGGTTATCGGTTTTACATCGACCAGGTCGCGGATTACGTGGCCGGCAAAACCGCCCACGCCATGGAGTTGGGCCAGGAACTGGAGCGAGCGGCGTTGGCAGTGGACATCGCTTACGCCGGCAAAACGGTTGCTGTGGTCTCGTCCGGCGATGCCGGCATCTACGGCATGGCTGGTCCGGTGTTCCGTGTTCTGACCGACCGTAGTTGGGACGGATCGAATCCCGAGTTGATTACAGTGCCGGGTGTTTCGGCTTTACAATCCGCCGCAGCCCTGCTGGGCTCTCCCATAATGCAGGACTTCTGCGCAATCAGCCTCAGCGACCTTTTGACGCCCTGGGAACAAATCACGCGGCGGTTGGAGGCTGCAGCGGTCGGGGACTTTGTCACCATCCTGTACAACCCCCGGAGCCGACGGCGCACGATGCAACTGGATGAGGCCCGGGACATTTTCCTGCAACACCGGCCAGCATCCACTCCCGTGGGCATCGTACGGCATGCCTATCGTCCCGAGCAGGCTGTTTCCCTGGTTAGTCTGGAAGGACTGGATGGCGCGGCATTGTCGGTGGACATGTTTACAACCGTAGTGGTCGGAAACTCCAATACATACATCCACCAGGGGCGGATGGTAACTCCCCGCGGCTACGAGGCGAAGCAATAACGCCGTGTATCTGGCACGGGCCACAGCTCTCTGCGGCTCATGCCTGCTGTCAGGGATTTTGGTCGGTTGCCGGGACTGGCCGTCTGGCCGATCAAGGTCGTTCGCGCATACTGCTATACTGCGGTGAATTTGCATCACAGGAGGTTTAATGTGCCTGGCATACGACCTAATTCCGCTAAGGAAAAAATACGCCGAGGACAACCAGCGACGTGCATTTCCGGATTGATGAGTAGCGAAATCGTCGACTTTCTGGGGCCGTTGGGATTCGATTCAGCCTGGATGGAGTGTGAACACGGTCCCGTGGATTGGGAAACGCTCGGCGACATGACCCGGGCGTGCGATTTGTGGGGAATGACATCGATCACGCGGTGCAACGCCAACGATCCTGGACTCATTACGCGTACGCTGGATCGCGGTTCCATGGGGGTAGTACTGCCCCATGTCAATACCCGGGAGCAGGCTGAAGCCGCAGTGGGATCCGCCAAGTTCGCGCCTCTGGGTTACCGCGGAATGTTTGGCGGGCGTCAATCCTTTGGGGTGCCCGACTACGTCCATCAGGCCAACGACCAAACCATGGTTATCGTCCTCATCGAAGAAGTGACAGCGCTGGATAACCTGGACGAAATCCTTAAGGTCGACGGCGTGGACGTCTTCTTCGTGGCTCCCACCGACCTGTCCCAAACCATGGGGCACATCGGGAACGTATCACACCCGGAAGTGCAGGCGGCTATCGACGACGCCATTGCTCGCATCGTAAGCGCTGGTAGAACTGCCGGCACCTTGGTAAACGATGACAACGTGGCGTCATACGTGGAAAAGGGCGCCCTTTTCCTGATGACCTCATGGAACGCCTGGGTCACACGCGGGAGCAACGAATTCCTGCGTAGAATACCTTAGAACCCTTAGATTCCATCCGCGCGCCGTTGGTGTCGCTTACCATCCACGCCGGCAGGACCAAACCGCTAACCGCCCAAATGCAATGCTGGCATTCCGTTGAAGAGTGCCAGCATTTGTTTCACTGGGTGCTGCTCGCAATGGCCTCTGCTACCGGTTCGCCGCCGTGGTCGATATCCCAATCCCAAAGGTCAGCGTGGAATCCTGAAAGACTCTCCTCCAGAGTATTGATGAAGTTCCTGACGCCCCGGCCATGGAATTTGCCTTTCAGTGTGCACACTCCGATGTTAGCGGATGGGAACAGGTGGTCCAACCGCACAACGGCCAGGCGATCATGGTCTTCAGGGTGCAGCGTGAAGTCGCTGACGATGGCTATGCCCATCCCGATCGCCACGTAGCGTTTGATCATTTCGGTGTTATCCATTTCCAGGACAACGTCGTAGGGCGCACCCCGCTCCCTCAACTTCTGCTCTACGCGCCGGCGACTCAAGCTCTCCGGGCTGTTCAGGATCAACGGCCACGCCGCCATGTCATCAATGGTGACTGGGTCGCGCTGCACAAGTTCGTGCTTGGGCGCAGTGATCAGCACCACATTGTAATCAAACAATTGGGCGAACTCGAGCGATGGATCATCGGTGGGTGGGGCCGAGCACAAGGCGAGATCAACCTCACCAGATTTCACCAGCTGTATCAAATTCACGTACGATCGAGCAACCAGCCTCATCCTGACATCCGGGTAACGGCTCCGAAATTGGCGGATCGGCCTGGGAAGGTGGTAGGAAACGATATCCGGATATGCTCCCACAACAAATGACCCGCGCCCTTCCGAATAATTCATTTGGGTCTTCAGCGTGTCAATAGAATCCACAATTGGCGTCACCAATTCGTAAAAAACCGTGCCTTCAGACGTAAGCTGGATCGGCCGTTTGATGCGGTCGAAAAGAATTATTCCGAATTCGCTTTCCAGTTTCGGAGATGGGTCGTTACCGTCGGTTGTCCCAATTCCAATTTTCGCGCCGCTTTGGAAACGCTACGGAGACGGGCGACATGGTAAAAGCTGATTATCTCTCGAAGTTCCATGAGCGCTCCAATATGAGTATCGGCGATTGGCTGATCACCCATCGCCCCATAGTGATAGATATATTATATCAACATTGCGGATAATGCAACGTGTACAATGAAACGGCAGCTTGAGGCTCCTAAATGTGCCACTTGGTCAGGGACCCTTCCGGCACAACTTGCGCCGATGGACAACCGCACCAGGCATTGTCAACTACAATAGGGATGTGCAACCCGTATCCCTTGACAAAATAACGGGGTAAACCGCAGAATACTGCCAATTAGCAGCCCACCAATGAGCCACGCTGGACGGCATACAACCGGGAACCTATCGCCATATTTTCGATCCGGCGCGCTGAGGTAATCTGATGGCATTCGTGATTACACAACCTTGCGAAGGTGTCAAAGACGCCTCATGCGTCGACGTTTGTCCGGTTGATTGCATCCATTCCGACGACGACGCCCCGATGTTTTACATCAATCCAACCGATTGCATCGATTGTGCTTATTGCGTGGCCGTTTGTCCGGTGTCCGCCATCTTCGATGAGTTCACCGTACCCGCCAACATGCGGCAGTACATCCAGGTGAACCGCCGCTACTTCGCCCCCTGACCGCCGCGCTCCCGGTTCTGAACAATGGCCCGGTTCCTGCGCGACGAAGATGTAGACCGTTGCGCCGAGCTAGGCGACATGTTGGCAGTCATCGAGCGGATGTTCGCTCAATATGGCCAAAGCCGGGCTGTAAACCTTACTCGACGTAAGACCGTCACTCCCCACGGCTATCTGGCGGTAATGGGCGGCGCCTTGGCATACGACGGTGTCATGGGTGTCAAAACATTCACCCATACCCACAGCGGTTACTCTTTCCAGGTCAGCCTGTACGACATTGATTCGGGTCGCCTGCTTCTTTACACCCAGGCCAATCGGTTAGGTCAACTCCGAACCGGGGCTACGACTGGGGTCGCAGTGAAACACCTGGCCGTTGGCGGGGCTCTGAGAGTGGGAATCATCGGCACCGGAAATCAGGCAGCCGAGCAACTCCGGGCGATTTCCTCCGTTCGCGAAGTGAGGGAAATCGTGGCGTACAGCAGAAATCCCGAGAACCGCCGTAACTTCGCCGAACGAATGTCCAGGGAGCTGGAAATTCCGGTCATCGCCGGCGATGCCAACCGCGATGCCGTTGAAAGCTGCGACGTAGTGGTTGGAATCGCCTCCGCAGAGACCCCGGTGGTGCTGGGCGAATGGGTGTCAAGCGGGACTACCGTGATCGGTGCGGGCCCGACCAGCCCGCGGCACCGGGAGGTGGATGACAAGTTGTTGGCGATTGCAGATCGCAGATTCGTTGATTCCCTGGAACAGGCGCACCTGGAATGCGGAGATATAGCCGGTGCAGTTGACCAGGGGATCGTCCACTGGAATCAATTCCACGAATTGCGCCACGTGGTGGGCGGTACGATAGCGGGTCGGGGCGGAGACAACGAAGTGGTGTATTGCAAGTTGATGGGTACGGGCGTTGCTGATGTGGCGGCTGCCAGGCTCATCCTGGAGCGAGCAGAGCAATTGGGCCTGGGAGTCGAGATGGACTTTTAGGTATTATGGCCCAGGGGTGTTGAGATATTCTTCGGTGGTTAGGATGTTGTAATTATCCAGGCCGCTGAGCATGCTTTCCATCGCCGCCCGGGCGGTATCCAGTGACGTGAAGCACGGGATACGTCGCTCCACGGCGGCCCGGCGGATATAAAAGCCATCTTCCATCACCGACGTGTCTCCGGACAACGTGTTCACGACAGCGCCCACGGTGCCGTCGTTAATCACGTCCAGCACATCCGGAGAACCTTCGCCAATCCGCTTCGTAATTGTCGTTACCGGCAGGCCCATGGCATTGATCATGGCAGCAGTGCCTTCGGTTGCGTAAAGTTGACAATTTGCGGCGGCTAATCCCTGGATCAAGGACAACGAGTCCGCCTTGGTCTGGTCGGAGATGCTGAGCAGTACGCCCATTCCCGGCGAAAGGTTAATGCTGGCTGCCTGTAATGCTTTGGTCAATGCTGCGGCGAAATTACGGTCCACGCCCATAACCTCACCGGTCGATTTCATCTCCGGCCCCATGTACCAGTCAACACCAGACAACTTGGACATTGAGAACACGGGTGCTTTGATTCCGACCAGGCGCTGTTTGGGCCACAATCCGCCGGAGTATCCAAGTTCCTGCAGCGTGGCGCCCAACATGACACGGGTGGCGAGTTTGGCCACCGGAACACCCGTTACCTTGGAAATGAAGGGGATGGTCCGGCTACCCCTGGGATTGACTTCCAAAACGTAGACGGTGGTTTCCTCCTCAGGTTGGGGCCGTAGAGTGTTGGGGCTCCGGTAGGCGTTCCCACCCTGCAAAACGAACTGGATATTCATCAACCCGCGGATGCCGAGGGCCAATCCGATGCGTGTGGTGTACTCTACCAGCGTATCGACCTCTCCCTCCGTCAGATTCAAGCCGGGATATATGGCCATCGAATCTCCGCTGTGGACCCCGGCGCGTTCCACGTGCTCCATAATCCCGGGAATCAACACCGTTTCACCGTCACAGATAGCGTCGACCTCGCATTCGCGGCCCTCGATGTAGTGGTCGACCAAAACCTGGCGTTCGGGCGTTACTTCGGTGGCTATGGTCAGATAACGGATCAACTCCGTGGCATTGCCAACTATTTCCATTGCCCTGCCACCCAGAACATAACTCGGACGAACTACGACCGGATAATCTATTCTCTGGGCCACCGTCAGCGCCTGAGCAATCGATGCTACGGTCGCGCCGGGCGGCTGCGGAATGCCGAGGTTGTCCAGGAAACGTTCGAATCGTTGCCGATCGCTGGCGATATCGATAGCTTCTGCGCTGGAACCCAATATCGGCAAACCGACTGCCGCCAAAGACTGAGACAGGTTGATGGCCGTCTGCCCGCCGAACTGAACCAATGAGGCCGGCGGTTTATCGTCTATCGTCTCGTTGTCCAGAATGTCGCGAATTGCTTCCTCGTCCAGCGGCTCGAAGTACAGGCGGTCGCTGGTGTCAAAATCTGTGGATACGGTCTCAGGATTGGAGTTGATCATGATGCTGGCAACGCCGGCTTCGGACAACGCCCATGCTGCATGCACGCTGCAGTAATCAAACTCTATCCCCTGACCGATACGGATGGGTCCGGAACCAAGCACCACGGCCTTCGGACCCTCCAGAGGCGGAGCCTCGTTCTCCGTGTCGTATGCGCTGTAATAGTACGGCGTACGCGCCTCGAACTCTGCGGCGCACGTATCCACCATCTTGAAAACGGGTTTAATACCGTGTTGAAGCCTCAGCTGCCTAACCTGTTCAGGCAGTAACCCGGAAAGCGTGGCGATCGCAGAGTCAGAGAATCCCAACCGTTTCGAAGTCCACAACACTGCCGGCGTCAGCGGATTGCCCAACAATCTGCGCTCCTGGTCGACGATGCGCTCCAGAGCGGCGATAAACCACGGGTCTATGCTGGTTTGAGCCACCAGCTCGGTACGGGTTGCCCCCCGTCGCAAGGCGGCGGCCACGGCCCACAAACGCAGGTCGTTGGGTACAGCGGCAATGAATCCAGCAACTGCTTTTCGCCAGTTTTTGCGTTCATTCCGCGCCACTCGGGAGCCTCCCAAAGTAACCCGGAATTGCCCTGCTCCAATGACCGGACGGCCTTTTGCAGCGCGGCTTCAAAACTGCGGTCAATCGCCATCACCTCGCCGGTCGCCTTCATTTGCGTGGTTATGTGGCGGTCTCCGTTGGGAAACTTGTCGAACGGCCAGCGTGGAATCTTTACAACGCAATAGTCCAGCGCAGGTTCGAAGGCGGCGCCGGTCGTCCCGGTAACTTCGTTTGGAATCTCGTCAAGGCGTTTCCCCACGGCGATTTTGGCGGACACACGCGCGATGGGGTAACCGGTGGCTTTGCTGGCCAACGCCGAAGAGCGGCTCACCCGGGGATTGACCTCGATAACGTAATACTCGGAATCGGCATCCCAATTGCCGGGGCGGTCCCGCATGGCGTCCGGATGGGGTCGCGACGCCAGCTGAATGTTGCACCCACCTTCGATACCCAAACCCCTGATGATTTTGAGGCTGGCAGTGCGCAGCATCTGGTACTCTTTGTCGGTAAGCGTCTGGCTGGGCGCTACGACAATGCTGTCACCGGTATGGGCGCCCATCGGATCGAGGTTTTCCATGTTGCAAACGGTGATGCAATTATCCGCGCCGTCGCGGATAACCTCGTATTCGATCTCTTTCCACCCAACCAGCGAACGCTCCAATAAAACCTGGCTGATGGGGCTGGCCGACAATCCGCTATCTACTATTGATCTGAACTCGTCGGGAGTGTTGGCGATCCCGCCACCGGTGCCTCCCAGAGTGTACGCCGGTCTGATCACCAGCGGGAGCCCGACTTCCGCTTCATAATCCATCGCCTCCGCCATGGAAGACACCGTTCGATTGGGCGGCATGGGTTCACCAAATTTCGGTCAGAAACTGGCGGAAATGGTCCCTGTCTTCAGACTTCCGAATGGTTTCCAGCGGAGTCCCCAGCAATCGAACATCGTAGCGGTCCAAAACACCGGCGTCGGCCAGATCCACTGCCAGGTTGAGGCCGGTCTGTCCGCCCAGGGTCGGCAGTATCCCGTCCGGTCGTTCCTTCGCGATGATGCGTTCGAGCACCGGGACCGTGAGCGGTTCGATATACACCCGGTCTGCGATTTCCCGGTCGGTCATGATAGTGGCCGGGTTGGAATTAACCAGGACAGTGACCACTCCCTCTTCTCGAAGCGCCTTACATGCCTGAGTGCCAGCGTAATCAAACTCGGCAGCCTGGCCGATGACAATCGGGCCAGAACCTATAACCAGGACTTTCAGTGCTTTGCTGGTGGTTGTGGTCAACTTATTTCCCTGAGGTTATGCAGACGGTATTATTGGATTTACGTCGTTTATCATCTGTAGAAAACGATCAAAAAGATATTCATTATCCTGGGGACCGGGCGATGCTTCGGAGTGATACTGGATGGTAAACAATGGTAATTCCCGGTGACGTAATCCTTCGACTGTGTTGTCATTTAGATTCAGGTGCGAAACTTCCAGGCCGGGCGGCAGGTGATCTGTGTCCACCGCGTAACCGTGGTTTTGTGCGGTGATGTGCACCCGTCCCGTTTCAAGGTCTTTGACCGGATGATTTCCACCGCGGTGCCCGAATTTTAGCTTGTAAGTTCGCGCTCCCAACGCCCGGGCTGCCAACTGATGCCCCAGGCATATCCCCATGATGGGCACCCGACCCATCAGTTGCCCAATATTGGCCACGATACCTGCCAGCAGTTCGGGATCCCCTGGGCCCGGCGACAACAATATGCCGTCGGGTCGTAGCTCCAGCATATCGGTAGCAGGAGTGGTGGCAGGAATCGCAATGACTTCGCAATTCCGGGAATGCAATAATCGAAGAATGTTATATTTCAATCCGGTGTCTGTAACCAGAATTCGACGGGTGCCTTCGGAATATGGGCGATCTTTGTAGGTAGTGGTCTCGTCGACACCATTCCAAACGTAACCGTTGGCAGTGGTTACTTCGCTTACCCAATCGAGGTTATCGTAACGGGGCAATTCCGCCAGCCGCTTCAACCCTTCCTCCGCGCCGTTGAGTGAGACCAGGCCCATCATCACGCCTTGAGTCCTCAAGCGCCGCGTCAGAGCCCGCGTATCAACACCGCATATCCCAGGGACGTCGTATTGGCGCAAGAACGCGTCCAGGGTCATATCACTGGAACTATGGCTGGGTAAATCGCAATGCTGACGGACGATCAGCCCGGCCACCTGGATTCGGCGCGATTCGAAATCATCCCGATTGATGCCATAATTCCCCACCAGGGGGTAGGTAAGCGTGACCAGCTGTCCGGAATAAGACGGGTCTGTCAACACCTCCTGGTAACCCGTCATGGTGGTGTTGAAAACTACCTCGCCCCAACCCTCTGTCTGGGCCCCAAATGACTCACCGGCAAACACCGACCCGTCTTCCAGTACCAAGTGTGCGACGCGGTTCACTCACGGCCTCCGTCAGATATCAAATCCGGTTCTTCGAACACCACCTGTCCATTTACAATCGTGGCGGCCACCCTTCCTTTCAATTCCACCCCGTCCAGCGGCGTGTTGCGTCCCATGGATGCGAACCTGGAAACGTCTACGGTCCAGGCGGCATTGGGATCGAAAACCACGAGATCGGCGGGCGTGTTGACGGCCAGGTTCGCACGAGGAGCGTACGCATCGCCCAACACCCGGGCCGGACCAACCGTCAATCGGTCTATCATAGCGGCCAGGTCGATACCCTGCGCGCGTACCGTTTCCATCAGTGTACCCAATGCCGTCTCAAGCACGCTGATCCCGAACGCCGCATCGTCATAGGTGCATTCCTTGCTGGCCCGGTCGTGGGGAGCATGGTCGGTTGCCACGCAGTCTATGGTGCCGTCGACCAGACCCGCGATGCACGCGGCAACATCCTCGTGCGTACGGAGGGGCGGGTAAACCTTGGTGCTTGTATCGTAGGACTGCACTCCTGTCGGAAGGTGCTGATCGCCACGGCTTCCGAGCACCCAATCTTCGGTCAAGAATAGATGATGAGGACAGACTTCTGCCGTCAACGAAACGCCGCGGGATTTGGCCTCCCGCACCAGCGCAACACTTCCAGCCGAGCTCAGGTGAGCCAGATGAAGGCGTCCGCCGGTCAACTCTGCCAGGGCGATGTCCCGGGCCACCATCGCTTCTTCGGCGACGGCGGGTATCCCAGCCAGGCCGAGCCTGCTGCTAACCCATCCCTCGGCCATTACGCCGCCGGGACAGAGGGAATGGTCCTGGCAATGATTGCTGATCGGGATGCCCAAATCGCGGCTGTAGGTAAGCGCCATGCGCATCAACGCAGAATCGTACACCGGGTCGCCATCGTCGCTGAAGGCTACCACCCCAGCAGAAGCGAGTTCCTCCATGTCAGCCAGTTCACGCCCCGCTCGTCCCCTGGTAACGCAACCAATAACTTCAACGCGGACTGGCGCCGTGTGCCCCTTGGCGGCGACGAAATCCACCACCGCCGCGTTGTCAATCGGAGGGTCGGTGTTGGGCATGGAACATATCGTCGTGAAGCCGCTCCGGGCCGCGGCGAGCGCTCCGGTGGCTATGGTTTCTTTGTACTCGAAACCCGGCTCTCTCAAGTGAGTATGGACGTCGATGAAACCGGGACAAACTACCAGGCCCGTGGCATCTATCACTCGGGTGCCACTGTTAACGACGACATCCCGGAGACCGGGGGAGACCACGGCGATTTCCCCTTCGCTTACGAGAATATCCGTTAATTCGTCCCTTCCGATCGCTGGGTCAATTACTCGGCCACCGGCGATGAGGATAGGTGGTGCATTGTGCTGGACTGACATATTATTCAGGTACCCGTATTCGCCGAAGAGGCGACCTGGTACAACAAAGCCATGCGCACCGCGACTCCGTTGGTCACCTGTTGCTCGATGAGCGAACGATCCCCATGAGCCAGACTGGTACTTACTTCGACACCTTCATTCATCGGCCCAGGATGCATCAACAGCGCGCCCGATTTCGCCAGCCCCATCCTGGCTTCGTTTACCTGCCAACGCCGGACATACTCTCTGAGGCTGGGGAAAAACCCTCCGTGTTGCCTCTCCGACTGCAGACGAAGCGCCATCACCAGGTCGGCGCCACGCACGGCAAGGTCCAGGTCGGACTGTACACTTACGCGGGCCAACGGATTACTCGCGCCGTTGACGCCGACCCGGTCTCCCCACCCCATGGGCGTGAACGCTTCGGGCATCAGCGTCGCGGGACCGGACAACACAACCTCAGCCCCCAACCTGGCGAATCCCCACACCGCCGAGCGCGCAACTCGACTATGCAGCACGTCCCCAACGATGACGATCCGCCGTCCTGCCAAATCACCAAGGTGACTTTGCGCGGTATACAGGTCGAGCAGCGCCTGAGTGGGATGGGCATGGGTTCCATCCCCGGCGTTGATAACCGCAACGTCTGTTAGATTACGCGCCAGGAAATGCGGCGCTCCCGAGTGGGGATGCCTGATTACTATGGTATCAACCCCCATGGCCTGCAGGGTGAGACCCGTGTTGAGGAGAGACTCGCCCTTTTCCACACTGCTGGCGGTGGCCGTCATGTTGATGACGTCAGCGCTGAGAATTTTGCCGGCTTCTTCGAACGAAATGCGGGTGCGCGTGCTGGCCTCGTAAAAACAGCGTCACAATGACGCGCCCTCGCAAAGTGGGAACCTTTTTGATGTCGCGGGCCAGGACTTCGCGCATCGCTGTCGCGTTGTCCAAAACTGCCCTGATCTCCTGGGCAGAGAAATCGTCCAGATCCAGCACATGCCGGCGCGCTGCCCTGTTCTCATCCAGCGGCAAGTCCACCTGTGCCAACGGGTTGGAGATAGTCGAGGCCATCAGCCGTCACCAACCTGAGATACCGAAACTTCGTCAATCCCGTCGGTTTCGGTAAGGCGCACTCGGACTCGCTCGGCCCGCCGGGTAGGAATGTTTTTGCCCACGAAGTCGGCCCGGATCGGCAGTTCCCGATGTCCCCGATCCACCAGGGCAGCCATCTGAATGCGGAGCGGTCGGCCAAGGTCATTTACGGCGTCCAATGCAGCGCGGACAGTGCGCCCCGTAAACAGCACATCGTCGACCAATACTACCGTCCGTCCAGCCAGGTCCCCGGGTACAGTCGTAGGGCGCACTGTGATATGGGGTCTTACGTTCAGATCGTCCCGATACAAACCCGTATCCAGTTGGGCAACCGGCACCTCAACGCCTTCAGAGGCGACGATTTGCGCCGACAGTCGCTGGGCCAGCGGCACTCCACGGGTGCGAATGCCCACCAGCATCAGGTTCTCGGCGCCGTGATTGCGTTCCAGGATTTCGTGATACATTCTCGTCAGTGCGCGGCGAATTTCATCGGCATCCATGAGTTGCCGGTACGTTGCCGCACTCTGCTGTATTTCGACGGAGCGCGCGTTCACGTTTTCACCGGGCCAAGAACCGTATTTCGATTCAACTGATACAAAAAATCCCCGCTCCGTGGCAGTAAGCCGCTAGCAGGGTGCGCATGAAAGCTGAGCCGTCAATACGACTCTCAACACCTTCGTTCACGCTTTGCCAGCCTCACGGGACTGCCTTAAAAGCTGTTCGCAACCGCCGGGGTTCCGAATATGTTGGTGATTGCGAGGGGATTATATCATCGGACGAGGCGATCCGGGAATACCTCGACAGCGTTTTTCGTAATCGTATGTAGCGAAATCGGATTATCGATCAACCGGTTACACGTTTCCGACGGTTGGATATGTAATCCACCAACATGTACTCGCCGAGATTTTCGCTGCTGCTGTAAAAAGCTCGACCCTTGTTCATGCGGGTCATACGGTCTACGAAATTGACCAGCTGGTAATTGTTTTCCAGCATGAAGGTATTGATGATGATTCCTTCCTGCGTGCACCGCCGTACTTCTTTCAGCGTCTCCAGTTCGGTTCGGTAGCTCGGAGGATAGGCAAAATAAGATTGCTCGCCTTCCAGGTGAGCCGTGGGTTCGCCGTCAGTGATCACCATAACCTGGCGAGTACCGCCCTTTTCCCTGGACAACAATTTGCGGGACAGCATGAGGGCGTGGTGCAGATTTGTTCCCGAAACCCAGTTGTTCCAAGTCAGGCCGGCGAGGTCTTTTTCCTCGATTTCACGCGCATAATCAGAAAAGCCCACCACATGCAGGGAATCCCGGGGATACTGCTGACGTATTAATGCAAACAGGGCGAGCGTTACCTTTTTGGCTGCGGCCCAGTTGCTGAACAAACCCATGGAACGGCTCTGGTCGAGCAGCACCACAGTGGCGGAGCGCGTCATGTGCTCGCTGTGATAAATCTCGAAATCATCGGGATGCAGTCGCACCGGCACGGTTGGCCCGTTGCGAACTATCGCATTCTTGACAGTGGTCTGGAGATCCAATTGCAACGGGTCGCCAAACTCATACTGTTTGGTTTCGCCCAGGACATCGCCTCCGCCTCCCCTGGTGTCCAGGTCGTGGTTACCCATTCGGTCTTTCTTGAGATGCTGGAACACTTCCCGCATCGCCTTCTGTCCGATCCGGCGAATGCCACGGGCGGTCAGCGTCATCTTGTCATCGCCGGTGATGTACCCGGCATCTTTCAGGAGTTGGCGCAACCGGTCCAGTTCTTCCCAGGCGCGGCGAGCTTCGTCGCCAAGTAATTCGGCCAGTTTCTCCGGGTCAACATCGTCAAGATTGCCGCTTCGCATGGCCTGTTGCAGCGCCTGCTCCAACTGGTCCAGCGACTGCATCTGACGCATTGCTTCCATCGCCTCGTCAAGGGTCATGCTGTCGTCGCCGAGGAATGGATACTGACGCGCCAGTTCGTCGGGCGGCATCAACGATTGCATCAGACTGGCGAACTGGGACATTTCGGACATCAATTCGGGGTCCATTGCTGATTGCAACGCATCCTGGAGTTCCTGACGCATTTCCGGCGACAGACTATCCATCAAGGACTGCATCTGGGACATTTGCTGCTGCATTCGTTCCATCAGCTCATCCAGGTTCTGCGGAGGATCGTCGCCAAACATGGGACCCCATTTCTGCATGAACCCGTCGAAATCCGGTTCCCTGCCGTCCATGCGGTCGCGCAGCATCTGGTTCAGGTCACGCATCATTTCGCGCATGGCCGCCATTTGCTCCGGTGTCATGTTTTGCATCTGTTCGCGCATCTCTTGCGATATGTTCTGCGCCATCTGGCCTTTCAACATATCCAGCAGCTCCTGGAATTGCTGCTGCGCGTCAGGATCCATGAAATCGTAGTCCATCAACCCCTGGATCTGCCCTCCCAGATCGTTGGGAAGGTCATCGAGACGGTCCAGTTGTGTTCGGCGCGCTGACGGAGCAACTGGTTCAACGACCGATGCTGCTCTTTGCCAGCTGCATCGTCGGGTTCCGGTTGGCTGGCAGCGTCGTCCAGGCGAGCCTGAATGCCCTCCCGTTCCGTTTTGAGAATGTTTTCCAGACGCTCTTTGAGGTCGTCAACAACCGAGTCGAGATTACTCTGCTGCAGCTGCTGGCGCCGTTGATTTTTCAACTGTTCCATCAACTGACGCAGGCTGGGCATCTGGGAACCGTCGCGATTCTCCATTCCATTGCGAAACAGTTCACGCAACGCCCGCATGACATCGCCGTTCTGCAACAGGTCGTCTGACAGCGCATCCATCACCTCGCTGGCGTCGATATCGAAAATCTGTTGGGTGCCGTCCCAATGGGAATAACGGTAGCGCTGGTACAGCATCAATGACCTCCGGACGGACCGGTGCGGGGCGTGGTTTCGATGATCAACCCTGGCAATCCTGCCTGAAGCGTGATGATAACACAGGCCCGTTGCCGTCTTCGCGACATTACACCACCCGCGCTCCCAGGATCTGGGTGATGTGTCGTAACGCCCAATGATGGGCATCAACATCGAACGAAGCGACACAGGCGGCTGGCACTTCGACGGTGTAATCCCGATTGCGGGCATCCGAGGTTGTGTGCATCACGCAAATATCGGTACAAACACCGCAGATGGTAATCTTGTTCGGGCCCATCGCGGTCAGCCGCTGCTCCAGATCAGTATTGTAAAAACCGCTGTAACGGTTTTTGGGTATGACGTTTTCGTCGGTTACCCACTGGGAAAGCTCCGGAATCACTTCCGGCTCCTCGGTTCCCTTGACGCAATGCACCGGGAACATCCGGAACTCCAGATCGTCAGGATCGTGGTGATCAGATACGAACAAAATTGAGGACCCGGCCGCCGTTTCGCTGGCCAATAACTCGCGCACCGGTTCTATTATCTTGCGGGCGTCATCGCCGCAATACAGGTTGTGACCCGGCTCAAGGAACCCTCGCACCATATCAACGACTAATACTACGTTCGGCATCGCTCAGCCTCCCTGCGGAGTTGGCGGCAGTGTAACTCAACACACCGCCACCAGTCAGCAGCAGGACGGATCACGGCGCGAACGGCTGGCCGTCTAACAGCACCTCTTTGATCGCGGCACGGCCGTCGGCTGCGATAGCCACCACCACTTTCACGTCATCCGCTTGTTCGATGATATGGCCGGTCCCTTCCGGTACAAAGAAGGTACCGATGCCAAAGTCGAGATGATCGGGCCTGTCGATGACGCCCCGGATGTACAGATCGACCCCGGACGGCGCCTGGTGGACAAAATATCCATTGGCGGACCAAACATCCCGATGTTCCCGGAGACCCACGTAAATAACTTCCCCAACAACGTCCCCCACCGGTGTGTCGGCAAAATGATCCGGCAACTGAGCAATTTCGTAGTCAAGCGCCGCGAAATCTCCCTGCAACAGCGATCTTGGGTCAACCGGAACCGCCTGCAACACCACCTCTTTACCCTCTGCGACAACGGATTGCCGAATTCCCGCGAACGCGAGCAGGCCGACCACCTGCGCGGCGACTACGGTGAACAATAGTATGGTTGCGAGTCTGCTCATCGTTACGTTTCCATGCGACGCATCCGAACCAGCATCCGCCGCCGGAACCACTCCAGGCCCAAACCCAATACGAGCATAATCACGCCGGCCACGATGAATGCCACCGATTGCTGGAGCAAACTAAAACCAAACTCAAAATAGCGGGTGATCAGCGTGATGCCAAATACGGCAATCGCCAAATTAACCAGGTCTGAACGGTTCCAGCGGTACCCCGCATGAACCGACACTATCACGCCAATCAGCAGCAACGCGTTCATAACCGCCCACATCCACGTCAACCCCCAAATCAACCCCACCAGCGTTCCAATCGCCACGACAATCATTGCAAGCGGAGCCGATAACTCCCACCAAATCAATGACATTCTACCGCCACCCGATCGCCACCGCGCCACCACCGAAGACCCGCCCACGGTTATCAAAGCGCCGGCGAGTACGATCCAGTACTCCAACCGGGCCGACTCAACGGACCATGGTTCCAAGCTGCCCCATACATCTTGGAATCCCAGTACGTAGACCGAGCCGCTGGCGGCTATCATGGCTATCGCCGTAAACACCCCGGCGATGGGGCGCGTAAAGGCGAAACGAGACTGCGCCCGGCCAACGGCGAACAGGGCCGCCGCCAAAGCCAGCAGTATCGGAATCAGCAGGAAAAACAGTTCATCTCCAAGCGCGAGTAGCCATACTTGTGAACGAAACCCGGCAGCCGCGAAAAACAGTACCACGGCCAGGGTTGCCACAGCTTTGGACCGTGTGATATACGCGACCGGGACTACTCCCAAAAACCATGCCGCCATGAGGTTGGGGCTGTCTACCGGTACGTGGTAGATCTGGGCAATCAGATGAATTGACGCCCCGAAGGCAATGGCCCCGAGCAATATTACCGCTGTGCCAATTCGAAAGAATCCCCAGCGCTGAATCAGCAACCACCCGGCAAAATATAGCACTGGCACGCCGACCGCCATCATGACCAGTTTGGTTCCCAACGGGATCGCGGACCAGTTTGCGGCAACCGCCGCGATAATCCCCAACCCCACCAACGCCGCTCCCATGACGGCTATCACCGAGACCACTCGACTCGGGACGATTCTGGCCGGCGATTCCGGCGTTACGTCGTATAGTCCGAGGATCGCCGTGGACTGCTCCGCTGAGATTATTCCGTCTTCCTCCCAACCACGGATTTCAATCCGTAATTTTCGGACAAACGGGGCCCGATCGTCTTCGCGATCCTCTGATTCAGGCCAACCAGTATCCCCGGCCATTTAAAGAATGCCTGCCAGGTCCGACAATCTCGACGTTTTAGTTTGCGGCGGCAACTGAATCGAGGGCATAGCCAGCGTCTCGCTCCAGCATTTCCGACAAGCCCATGAGTTCAAAGGCATCGGTTAGCGAGCTCATCTCACCAATCAGGTGTTCCGTGGTTCCAAAGGTTTTCAGGTCGGCCATAACTCTGGCCACGGTGTGCGCGACGGCCATGAAGGCGCTTCCCGGGAAGATCACGATTTTAAACCCGAGCGATTCCAACTCTGATACGTTGAGTAGCGGAGACTTTCCGGATTCCACGAAGTTGTACAGCAACGGGACACTGGTCCGGGCGACCACATCGGCTGCTTCTTCCGGCGAACGAATCGCCTCTACGAACAGCGCGTCGGCGCCGGCCTCCGTAAAGGCGTCGCAACGCCGCATGGTGTCATCCCAACCCGTTACCGCCAGAGCATCCGTACGCACAATGAGGGTGAAGTCATCGTCGGTTCTGGCGTCTGCGGCAGCGCGAATTTTCTGCACCATTTCATCGATTGGCACAACCCGTTTATCATCAAGATGGCCACACCGCTTGGGAAACTGCTGGTCTTCAATATGAACCGCTGCCACGCCGGTGCGTTCGTATTCCCTGATAGTCCGCCGAACGTTCATCGTGCCGCCGTAACCGGTGTCAGCGTCGGCGATCACCGGCACGCCCACGGTGGCAGCAATCGCGGCTGCGTTGGACATCATTTCCGTGGCTGTGGCCAACGCCAGATCGGGGTATCCGATGCGCGCCACCGAAGTGCCCGCCCCCGTCATATAAACAGCGGGGAACCCGGTTTTTTCGATGATGGCGGCGGTCAGGCAATCGTAAGCGCCCGGGGCCGTGATGATGCCCGGGTCTGACAACATCTGGCGAAAATGTGTGGTGTTTCGCACGATAGGTTCCTCCGAATTGAACGTGGACGCCGGCGTCCGCTGCACGTCGGAGCGCCCCGTATGAGAGATCAATCAGGCGATCAGGCCGCCGTCAACGGTAAGTGTCTGCCCGGTCATGTAGCTGGCGCCCGAGCTCACGAGATACAGCACCGCGGATGCCACGTCGTCTGCGGATCCGAACCGGCCCGCCGGTATGCGACTGAGAATCTGCCCTCGCTGGTCGTCCGTCAAATCTGCGGTCATACCGCCGGAATCGCTAAATTCGATAAAACCGGGGGCGACCGAGTTGACGGTGATATTCCGGCTGGCGACCTCACGAGCCACCGCCTTCGCCAATCCAATCTGCCCGGCTTTGGAAGCGGCGTAGTTGGCTTGTCCGGGATTCCCCGACAATCCGACCACCGAAGAGATATTGACGATACGCCCGTAACGTTGCCGTACCATCAAAGGGACGGCGTGGCGCGTGGGCAGGAAAGTACCGCGAAGATTGACGGTAAGTACCTGGTCCCAGTCTTCGGTGGTCATGCGCATCAGGAGTCTGTCACGATTCACGCCAGCGTTGTTCACCAGTATGTCGAGCCGGCCCAGCTGCTCTACCGTTCCTTTAACCACCGCCTCGGCGGCATGTTCATCGGAGACGTCGCCCGGCACAGGAATAGCCTGACCGCCAGCGTTGCGGATGCCGTCGACGACTGCTTCAGCCTCGGCTCCGCTGCTGCGATAATTTATTGCCACGGCAGCGCCGGCTTCCGCCAGGCGTCGGGCGATCACCGCTCCGATCCCACGAGACGCGCCGGTTACCAGGGCACTCTGTCCACTCAAGTCGATGGCATACATTGCGGTTCCGCCTCACTCGCCGGATTCTAACATGATCGCCATATCCAACCGCGACAATTCCTGGCGGAACCCGTTTACCAGGCCGATGCGATGGCACAGGAGCCCCGTTTCTATCGCTCCAGATATCCCCTCGGGCCCGGAGGAACCGTGGCCAATCATGACCAGGCCGTTGATGCCGAAGAGGGGCCCACCCATCGTACGTGGCAAGTTGGTGGATTGCCAAATTGCATCCGTGATACGGGTAACCGCGCCTTCGGGGAACGTTGAGGCCAACTGTCGTTGCAGGAATGGGCGAAATACCGAGCCCAACCCTTCGGCGAATTTAATGAGTATGTTGCCGATGAACCCGTCACACACTATTACGTCAGCTTTATCGGTGAAAAAATCCATCCCTTCAACGTTACCGACAAAGTTGAGATGGCTCTTTTCCAAAAGGGTGAAAGTGTCCTGCACCTGCCGGTTCCCCTTGGCGGCTTCCTCACCGACGCTCAATAACGCAACTCGGGGAGATTGGATGCCCAGGTAATGACGCGAGAACGCGACACCAAGGGCGGCAAAACTCACCATCTGAGGCGGCCGGCAATCCACATTACTTCCCAGGTCGATCACCGTGGTATCGGGCGCCAGACCAAGAAAATTGCCACCGATGCAGGGGCGTTCCAATCCTTCCATAAGGCCGAGTGCAAACACCGACGCCGCCATGGTGGCGCCTGTTGAACCTACCGATACCGCCATGTCGGCAGCGCCCGACTTCAGCAAGTGGGTGGTAACCGCAATCGAAGACCGCGGCCGACGCCGCAACGCTGCGACCGGATGCTCATCGTCCGAGATTTTCCCGTCCGACGGCACAACCGCAATGCGATCGGTTTCCGCGCGATGGTTCTTGATTTCAGTGCTGATCTGGTCGGGATCCCCCACGAACGTTACGTGTATTTCGGGGTGAGCATCCAAAGCTGCCAACGCGCCCGCAACGGTTACAGGGGGACCGTAATCTCCACCCATCGCATCCAGGGCGATACGGACTACTGAACCGGGGTTTGGTGAGGTTTCGTTTAAACTGGTCATTGTTGAGGGACACCATTTCCTGTCTAACTGGGTATGGATACTGTTGCCGAACCGGTGATTATTTGCGCCCGCGTATCGGCGTTGACCACCGCCACACCACACTTTACGGTCGTGCCGTCCTGGGTAGTGGTGGCGTCGGTGACAGACCCCACGGTCTCCAGTCGATCCCCGGGATACGCAGCGCCGCGAAAGCGTACTTTCAGGCTACCGCACTGGAGCCAATGGCCGCCGTAAGCGGCAGCCATCATCTCTGCCACCAAGGCCAGGGTCAACATTCCGTGGGCTATAACGCCGCCGAATTGAGTCGCCTCCGCAAACTCATCGTCGTAATGGATAGGATTGTTGTCACCGGAAGCAATGCGATAGGCATTAATCCCGTCAGACGTAATTGTCCGCGTAACCCGTGGCAGCGCGTCACCGGCGTTGCGTGGATCAGGATTCATGACTCGGGTCGCCATCAGGCGCTTCGCCGGCGGGGAGAAGTACGGTCGTCCGCCCGCGCAAAACGATCATATCCGAGTCCGGATGCTTCGCGACGTAGGTAATGGTTTGGAAACTCATCCCGCCCCGTTGCCGGACCGCTTCCACGGTGGCGGTGGCAGCAACCCTGGAGCCCAGGCCAATCGGTTCGAGCGCTTCCACGTCTTGAAGGCTGTGTATCGTGCCGTCTGGCAACGACAATCGCTCTAACAAAACCCCAACGATCCGGGCAGCCAACCATAGCGGCGGCGCAAAACCGGTATTCTGATACACCGGCAACTCGTCCCCCACCGCCGAGAGATACTGCCGAACCGAATCGGAGCAAACGTTCCAGACACCCAAATCCAGGGTCGTGGGCTGCGTGAGGCTAGGCATTGGGTTAGGCAATTAGTTTCCTTTGAGATTGCAGCTAAACTATACACCAGCAAGGAAATCGTCACCAAGCGATGCCGTCTACTGTAACAGTTCAGACTTGGAGAGGTGAATTGGCCGAAGGTTGGTCGGGAATCGCTGGAGCTGAGAGAGGTGGTTATGTCATATATCTGGGATGGATGCGGAAATCGACCTCAGCACTGCGGACCGGGATGTGCTGATTGCCATCATTGAGAGGCACAACAGGCCACATCGAGAGTCTGGAAAACGGATCGCCCAGTGGAAGGGCGGGACAAATTGGGCGGCACCGCCGGATGCCCGGTCTGAAGCCAAAGCCCGAGCAGGCAGCCGGCCCATGCCCAAGAAACCACGCAAGCCCTCGGCACCCACGGCTTTGCTCGCACCCGCATGGACGCCCACCCAGCGGGTGGAACACGTGGGAACAGTGTCCCGGACTGCGGAACCCAGCTGTCCGGTGGCTGGACCCAGAGCACTCGGGAAGTGATTGACCTGCCCGGGTTCGGTGCAGGTAACCGAGCACGCTATATCGCCCGCACCTGCCCACAGTGCCAACGCTGTTGTACGCCCACCGGCAACTGGAGAACATGGTGATGGCAAGCAACGCCTGGGGGTCAACCTGATCAGCCTGATTGCCGCCCTGCGGGAGGAGCTAGGCTGCCTTTCCGCACATCCAGTGGTACCTGGACACGTGCATGGGTTGCGTCTCAGCCTGGGAGCCATCGTGGACGCACGCAAAGGGTGGCTTGCAAGGCCCAGGATGAACTGACGGCATTCGGAACGCATCCGAGGCAGTCCGGTTGGTCCATGCCGATGAGACCGGCTGGCGTGAGGACGGACACAACGGCTACGTGTGGACCTTCAGCACCCACAGCGAGCGCTACTTCCTGCGTCGGGGCCGGGGCAAGGCCGTGGTGGATGAGGCCTGGGCGATCAGTTCGCTGGCGTGCTGGTCAGAGACTTCTACGCCGCCTATCACCATTACGACGGCCCAAGCAACGCTGTTGGGCCCACCTGTGCGGGACATCCACGACCTGCGCGCATCTACCCCGATGATGACCGGTATGATACCGGCGGCCCAATGGGCTGACGCCATCCACCAACTCTACCGTCAGGCGACCGCCTTCACCACTCCTAGAGTCAGCAACGGCCAGCAAGCAGGCCAGAGCAGCAACGCGCACCGCCCAACTGGCCTTGGAACAGCGCCGCTGGCCCTCTGCCGTACCTACCAGGATGACCCATCGGCCGCCCCAACCAGGCTGTGCCGACGCATGGAGAACCACATCAAGGAACTCTTCCTCTTTGTGGCTGAACCAGAAGTCCCGCCGGACAACAACGCCGCCGAGCGCAGCCTGCGACCGGTGGTAATCAGCCGTAAAATCAGCGGTGGCTCACGCTCCGCAGCGGGCACTGACACCAAGATGACCCTGGCCTCAATCTTCGGCACCTGGCGCGTACAAGGCTTCAACCCCCTCACCGCCTGCCGACAACTGCTCACTTCCCCGCAACTCTGAACTGTTACCGTCTACTTATTAGAGCCGTTACCGTTCGTCCCGGCGATTGGCAAATCGAATCCGGTAACCGGCGGCTTCAACCCGTTTCTGCCTCGACGCGGGCGTTTAATAGCGATGCTACGCATCCGGGCTGGAACGGAAGACCGATCACAGCCCAGCGGTAAATCAGCGTTGCACGGTCGCGGGACTTGCCTGCTATCAGGCCAGCGATTGCAGGCTTTGCGCGGTCAATGGGCGGACAAGCCGAAGTCCTCAGTGGCCAAGTCTGCCAGGTACTCGCCAATCGCCAGCGACGACGTGGCGCCAGGCGACGGTGCGTTGAGCACATGCAAAGCACGCTGTCCTCTGAGGATGTGAAAAATCGTCGAGCAATGCTCCCGAGGAAGAAACCGCCTGTGCCCTGACGCCACTCCCGCCGGTTTCCAGATCGTCCGGTTGAATCTCTGGAATCAGTTTCCGCAGATCGTTTACGAACACCGATTTTCGATACGACCGGTGCATTTCCTTCACGCCGGTGCGCCAGTGGCGGGCGGTCATCTTCCAGAAACCCGGAAACCCCAACGCGCCCATGGTCTCCCCAACGTTGACGTCGCTTTTGCGGTATCCCTCCCTGGCCCAGGCCAGCACCGCGTTGGGTCCGGCTTCCACGTGGCCGTGTATATTTCGAGTGTAATGCACGCCCAGGAACGGGAACCTCGGGTCCGGCACCGGGTAGATCAGGCCTTTCACCAGGTCTTGGCTGTCTTCCACCAGCTTGTAATACTCTCCACGGAAAGGAATGATCCGGACGTCGGTTGTTTCACCCATCATGCGTGACAGCCGGTCTGCGTACAGTCCGCCACAATTGATGACATGCCTGGCTTGCACGGACCCACGAGGTGTTTCCAGCGCACTGCCACCGCTGGATTCGCGAAATGCAGTCACCGGGGCGTCGGTGAAAATATCGCCACCGGCAATCTGGGTCTTGCCGGCGTAAGCGTTTGCAACCTGCACGTAGTCGATGATCCCGGTGTGAGGCGCCCAAAGCGCCCGTACCCCGGTGGTGTGCGGCTCGATTTCTGCCAGTCGGTCCGGGCCAATAATCTCTAGGTCGGGGACGCCGTTGGCCACGCCACGCTCAAAGAGGTCATCCAACCGACCCAACTCGGATTCATTAGTCGCGACGATAACCTTCCCACACTCTTCATATTCGATCTCATTTTCATTGCAGAAATCGATCAGGCGATCTTTGCCTCCCACGCAGAACCGGGACTTCCACGAACCTGGACGATAATAGATCCCGGAGTGAATCACCCCACTGTTGTGCCCGGTTTGATGCCGGGCCAGTGTGGTTTCTTTTTCAATCACCGCAACGTTCAGATCCGGGAGCCGTTGGAGTAGTTGCATGGCGGTGGACAGGCCAATGATCCCCCCACCTACAATGGCCACATCATAGACTCGGGATTCCACCGAGCCGGAATCGTTGGCAACAAAAGCCATGTTTATTCCTCCGTAAATCGCGAACTCTGTCGACAGGTCCCTCCGCCAAGTTTGGCAAATCTCAGCGTCTGGCGCAACCGTTGGAACGCGATAAGTCGGTCTGAGGTGGTCAAGTGGCGTCACGTCGGGCAACGAGGGTGTCGGCGCTCGACGCGTTGCTTGCCATCGAATCACCGGCGAACGGCGTTAGGGTAGAAGCGCCGCCGTTGCGCCCGGCCTTCTCCGTAGTTATCCTTGACCTGTTATGGCAGACTCAATCCCAGGAACACTGAACTCCCTCGCCAAGTTCGCCGGCGATGCAGTCAACGGCGGCACGCCCATACCGCACGCAGTCGCCGAGCAATGCCGCAACGTCATGCTCAACGCGGCGGCGGTGGCACTCGCCGGGGCGGCACATCCGGAAGGTGTGGCGCTAAGCCGATTCGCCAGGTCTATGGGCGGCAACGGACGATGTACGATTATCGGGATGGGTTTTCGAACATCCCCGGTATACGCGGCGCTGGTCAACGGTACGTTGGTGCGCCTGTTGGATTTCGACGACAATCCCCTCAACGCCACCAGCCATCCGACGGCCGCCGTATTTCCGGCGGTATTGGCTCTCGGAGAAATGCACGGCGCCAGCGGCGCAAGGGTTTTATCGGCGTTTGCCGCCGGCACCGAGATAGTCGCCCGATTGTCCCGAGGTGCACGGATTTTCGTCTGCGGGCACGGTGGGCGCAACGGCGGCCTGCGGGGCGCTGCTCGGCCTGACCGAAGAACAACTGGGCCACGCGCTCGGTATCGCTGTTGGTTCGGCGCGGGCGAACATCGACTACAACTCTGCCGGCGTCGGCGCGCTGCTGGGCGGCGGGCTGGATGCCATGAATGGCGTGATGGCGGCGCTGATCGCATCGGAAGGTGTTGTCGCCGCTCCTGTGGGCGAATCGCTGGAGTCATTGCAATCTGCCGGGGCGCTGGTTGATCTTGGGCGTGCCTGGCAGCTCACCGACGGCGGTATTTCGATCCACGCTTATCCGTGCCATCCGGCCAGCCACACCGCCATCGACGCTGCCCTCGGGATCATTCAGATGAACCGCTTGAATCCCGCCGACATCAGTAACGTACACGTCGGTATAACGGCAAACGCGATGGCACAACTACCCACGGTACTCCCGGCAGACGGGTGGCAGGCTCGCAGTTGTCTGGGATTCATAACCGCCGCGACTTTGTGCCACGGCGCTCCGCTTATCAACTTCTTCTCGGACGTTGCCGTAAGCGACGAGGGGGTGCGGGCGATGATGGAACGGATTTCCGTTGAAGCCTCTGTTCCCGAATCGCCATTATCCAGGTATCCGGCTGAGTTGCAGGTAACACTGCATGACGGTCGCGTATTGCGCCATCGCGTCGATCACGCCCGCGGCACCCCCGCCATGCCCATGGATGCGGAGGAACTGGAAGCCAAGTTTCTATATTGCACCAGGTATATCCTCCCGCAGGACCACATTGAGGAAGCGATAACCAGCTTCCGTAACATCGATCAGATTGAAAACGTTACGGGCATGGTTTCGGTACTGGGAGGATGATCATCCCCCGGCGCTTCCAGCTGGCGATCGCCACGGTTCAAGACTGCACTGAGAGGTGAAAATATGAAAGGAATCCGCGCCTATGAAATCGGTGGCCCGGAGGTTCTGAAATTCGAGGATATCCCCGAACCAGCGGCCGGGCGTGGTCAGGCCGTCGTCGCCATACAAAATATCGGAGTCAACTACACCGATGTATCCAGCCGCAAGGGCACCAACCCACCGGCTGCCTTTCCATGGACTCCCGGCCGCGAGGCATCGGGAGTGGTGGTGGCAGTGGGAGAAGGTGTGGATGAAGTTGAAGTTGGCGACCGCGTCGCTTATGCGATGCACACTGGTTCCTACGCCGAGCAGCAGGCGGTGCCTTCGTGGCTGCTGGTTAAAATCCCCGCCGATATGGACTTTGCCACCGGCGCCGCTACGCTACTGCAGGGCATGACGGCCCACTTCCTCGTGCATGATGTTGTTCCCCTGCACGAAGGAGACCGGGCGCTGGTGCACGCCGGCGCGGGGGGAATGGGTTTGCTGCTGATTCAAATGTTGAAGCGAATCGGCGTAGAGGTATACACCACGGTCTCCACAGGCGAAAAAGCTGAACTGGCTCGCGGAGTTGGCGCCGACACAGTGATCCTGTACACGCAGCAGGATTTCGAAGCAGAGGTGAGGCGGATGACCGATGACGCCGGCGTGAAGGTCGTTTACGACGCGGTCGGCCAAACCACCTTTGAGAAAGGATTGCGCATCCTGGGAAGGCGGGGCTGCATGTGCCTGTACGGACAGGCCAGCGGACCGGTGGGCCCGGTAGACTCATCGGCCCTGCGGAATGGAAGTTTGTACCTGACCCGGCCGTCTCTTGGCGATTACACGGCAACGCGCACCGAACTTTTGCGGCGGGCGGAAGACTGTCTCGCATGGGTCCAATCTGGCGAGATCAGGCTAAACGTCAGCCTCAACCTGCCGTTGTCCGACGCCAGCGAAGCGCACCGAAGGTTGGAAGGCCGTGAAACTACCGGGAAGATCCTGCTAACGCCTTGACCCAACTCTATTCCGGCCTCCCCAAACTGCGTCCACAACGTGACCGTACAATCACGTACTTTCGATTAGCGGGTCGGAGGTCGCCGGCCGCGCCTGTCATTGAGAGCGTAGCGTGGCAATGACAAAGTCGGTACGCATGAGGCAGCCTTCGTCGTTGACACTCGCCGGGACACCCTCATATACTGGTCCTTGCGAAATCTGAATTACAAAAAAGCTGGGATGGGGAATAGTAAACGTCCAGCGTGGCACAGAGAGCCGGGTAAGGTGCGAGCCGGCGCCAGGCGCAGAGGTTGAATGGGCCCCGGAGCCGCCTGCCGAAACTGATAGTAGGCCAGGACGTTTGGGCCACGTTAGATGCCCCCAGCGCGAGGTAGGGCGCACCACGGTGAAGAATCACCTCGTCTGCTGAATGAGACGTCGCCAGGTCTATGGCCCAAACGCCGGCGGCAATCAGGGTGGCACCACGGCCCAACGGCCCGTCCCTAGAGGACGGGCTTCTTTTATTGTCCATCTCCACACCTACAACATGGCAAACAACAACTGGAATTATGTACCAACCAACTCTGGAACAAGTGCGTGAAATGGCAGGCCAGGGTAATTTATGCCCGGTTTACCAAATCATAAATGCCGACCTTGAAACCCCGGTATCAGCCTACCTCAAAGTTGCCCGGCTGCCATATTCGTTTCTGCTGGAATCGGTAGCCGGCGGAGAACGCCTGGGCCGATACAGTTTTATCGGAACCGAACCGTACGACGTGTTCAGCACCGGTAGCGACCAGCCGTCTGGATCGGTTGATCCTTTGACGTTAGTTGAAAACGAGATGAACCGCTATCAGTTGATACCGTTAGAGGGCCTGCCTCCATTCCACGGTGGCGGCGTGGGTTACGTCGCCTACGATGCTGTCCACTATTTTGAACCCCGTGTGCCAATGTTGGAGTCGGACCCACAGGGATTGCCTGAATCGGTGTTTATGTTCACCGACACTCTGCTGGTGTTCGATCACTTGCGGCACGATATCAAGGTTGTCAGCCACGCCAGGCTGGATGGAGACATTGACGCCGCATACACGGAAGCCGTGGCCAAGATAGATCGGATGGTCGACCGGCTTTCCCGCCCATTGGAACTCCCACCCGAATTGACGCGAACGCCGTCGGCGCCTGAATCGAGCGAAGCGCAGTCGAACTTCACGGTCCAGGAATACGAAAACATCGTGGATAAATGTATCGAGTACATCTACGCGGGTGACGTCATTCAGGTCGTGAATTCACAGCGTTTCAGCCGGCAGACCGACGCCCATCCGTTCCAGGTGTACCGCGCGCTACGGGGCAGCAATCCGTCGCCGTACATGTACTACCTCGACCTCAACGGATTCCAGATTGTCGGCGCTGCCATCGAAACGGTAGCCAAGGTCGAAGACGGCGTCGTTGCCACCCACCCAATTGCCGGCACCCGCCCACGAGGGCAGACGACTGCCGAAGACGTCGCACTGGAAAGCGAACTCAAAAACAGCGAGAAGCAGCGCGCCGAACACATCATGCTGCTGGATCTGGGCAGGAACGATATCGGGCGAGTCAGCGTGCCAGGCACCGTCAACGTCACCCAGTTCATGGACGTGGAGCGATTTTCGCACGTGATGCACCTGGTGTCCCATGTGGAAGGCCAGCTGAAGCCAGACATGACGCCGTACGACGCGTTACGCGCCTGTTTTCCCGCCGGCACGGTTTCGGGCGCTCCCAAAATTCGGGCAATGGAGATCATCGCTGAGGTAGAAGGTGAACGCCGCGGCCCGTACGGTGGAGCGGTCGCCTATTTCAGCTACAACGGAAACATGGATACCGCGCTGGTATTGCGGACTGGTATCTTCAAGGACGGCGTAATGTACGTGCAGGCCGGTGGCGGCGTCGTGGCGGACAGTGTTGCCGAAGATGAATACATGGAAACACGCCACAAATCCGGCGCCATGATGCGGGCCATCGCCGACGCCGAAGGATTGAACTGATCCCGGCGGATCCCGTCTCGCGCCAACCACACCCAGTTTCAACCATTTCTCCAGCCGGAGGCCGACATGCTGACATCATTTTTCCACACCGGTTTTGTCGTCAGGGACCTTGAAGCCGCCATCAGCTTCTACACCGAGGTCATGGGCCTGACACTCACTGGCCGGACCGAACGCACTGGCGAATTCCCAAGCACCCTGTTGGGATTCACCGATGCCCACATCAAGGGCGCTTTCCTGGATATGGGTGAAGGGCATCAACTGGAATTGATCCAGTACATCAATCCGGTTGGTGGAGCCGCCGAGTTTGAAAAGAACAATGTCAGGGCGGCTCACCTGGCCTTTTTCGTATCGGATATCGACCGGTTTTACGCTGACACCCGCGAGCGGGGGCTGAGCTACGGCACGCCACCCGTGGCTATGTATGACGACTCCGGAACGATGACTCGCAAAGCCCTGTATTGCCAGGACCCGGACGGCAACTGGCTGGAATTGGTGGAGTTGTACTGATGTTACTGTTGCTGGACAACTACGACAGTTTCACTTACAACCTCTACCAGTATCTCGCTGAGTTGGGTGCAGACGTTACGGTGATCCGAAACGACAAGATAACGATTCCCGAGATCCAGGAAATGGCGCCGTCTGGGATCGTGATTTCCCCCGGACCCTGCACACCCAGCGAGGCCGGCATATCCAACGAGGTCATCCAGCGCTTCGGACCGGAACTGCCGGTGCTTGGCGTATGCCTGGGGCACCAGTGCATCGGCGAGGCCTTCGGCGCTACCGTCGATCGCGCCGGCGAGATCCGGCACGGTAAAACCTCATGGATCCACCACGACGGAGCCGGTGTGTTCGCCGGTTTGCCCACGCCATTTGAGGCCATTCGTTACCACAGCCTGGTTATCTATCCTGAAACTGTGCCCGAGTCCCTGGAGGTGACCGCCTGGACCGACAACGGGCTGATCATGGGCGTCCGGCACAAGGAATATCCCGTTGAGGGCGTGCAGTTTCACCCGGAATCCATCATGACCGCCGTGGGCCATGACCTGCTACGCAACTATTTGAAACGGGTGGACGCCTATTGGAGCCAGGCCAGCGCCAGCGAATCCACGGCCTGAACCACGCTGACGGATCGCAACAATAGCGTCCCCACCCACCGTTTCTGTCATAATCGCACCACTTCTGTACGAGGGAAATGTCATGACATCTATCGTCGAGTACGTGTCCAATTTATTCCAACAACCTGCATTATGGCGATTTGCCGGCGGACACCGTGCATCTGCTGAAGCGGATGATAATTGACAGCATCGGATGCGCCATCGGCGCCTACAGCTCGGAACCCAGCAAGATTGCCCGCGACCTGGCTGCTGATGTGAGCAGTCGGCGCCCCGTGCACCATCATAGGAACCGGCACCACCACCAGCCCTGACCTGGCAACCTTCGCCAACGGAGTGATGATCCGCTATCTGGATTTCAACGACGGTTACACAACCCTGGAATCCGGCCATCCCAGCGACAGCATCGCGGCGACACTGGCCGGCGCTGAAATGGTTGGGGCGGGTGGTCGCCGCCTGATCACCGCCACCGCGATTGCCTACGAAGGATTCTGCAGGTTCGGCGACGCTTTCAGCATCCGGTATGTCGGATTCGACCACGTTACCAACGGGGCAATTGCCAGTTCGATGGGAGCCGCGCGGGCGATGGGTCTGTCAATGGATCAGACCCAACAGGCAATGAACCTGGGTATCGCGCCCAATATAGCGTTGGGCCAAACCCGTGTGGGCGAATTATCCCACTGGAAGGGATGCGCTTACGCCAACGCCAGTCGCAACGCCGTATTCGCCGCCATGTTGGCCGAACGCGGCCTGACCGGCCCGGCCCCGGTGTTTGAGGGTGAATACGGATTCTTTGCGGCCGTTACCAAAGAACCCTACGAACTGGAACGATTCGGCGGAGACAATGGCCAGCCCTTCAAGGTCCACGAATGTAATATCAAGCAATTCGCGCTGGGGCTTTATTCCCAAACGGTGGTTGAAGCGGCGCTGGCCGCCCGGCATCAGGTACCCGATTTCCGGGTTGACGACGTCGAGGACGTGCATATCCGTACGTTGCAGAAGGCCATCGACATCATGGCTGGAGACGACGAGAAATGGCACCCAAAAACCAGGGAAACCGCCGACCACAGTATGCCCTACGCCACCGCGGTAGCCCTGACTTACGACGAATTGCATCAGGGCCATTTCGCGGACGAGTATATCAACGATGCGGGTTTGGCCAGCCTGATCAGCCGAACCCGCATCGAAGCGTCTGACGAGGCCAACCGCAGAGTGCCCGAAGCCATGTTGTGCAACCTGGACCTGCGGATGCGCGGCGGGGAAACCTACAGTTCAGAGGTGGCTCATTTCCGGGGACACCACCTGAACCCAATGACCGACGCGGAGGTGGAATCCAAATTCCGCGGCCTGTGCACCGACCTGTTGACTCCAGACCAAACCAACGAGCTGCTGGATCGGCTTTGGAATCTGGAGAAAGAGGAGGATATCGGAGCGCTGCTCCGCCTCACCAGGATTTAGGCGGCCGCGATTTTGGTTCCGTCCGGGTAGGTATAACCGGATCGGTCCGAGAATCCTCCCACCGCCGGGAATATCTGGCGATACAGACCACGTCCCCTCTGTTTGACGACGGCGCCGGCCGCTTCTTTGGTCGGCGTCGGCCTTGCGTTCTGATCTTTGTAGAACTGTGACTGCAACGGGCTGTCGTTCTCCAACTCCCAGATGCAAAGGTAACGCAGGACTCCATTGGCCTGACTGTCATCAGGATCCAACTCGAACCGCCGGGCGCTGATATATCCGGGTATGGCCATCCGTTCCGGTACGTGTTCTTCGTTGTACCATTTGTTGAAGACGGCGTCGTCGGCCTTGTCAACCTCCATCATTACCACCAGAATGGTGGTCCCGACTTGTTGGGCAGTTCCGTTGGTGCCGTTGCTGCTCGTCATATTTATACCTCCTTATAGTCGCCGGTAGATCTGGACGCGATGCCGGTAACAATCGGCCACAAAAACGAGGCCATCGCTGCCGACCGTTACCGCGGTGGGCCGATAGAAGCGCCGCTTCAATTCGATATTCTGGGTCGCGGCGTTCAGCTTTTCCTCGATGTCGGGGTTGGCGTTCAGGAAAGTGCGTGCCCATCTTGATGTGCCAGAGTGGCCAATCAGGGAATCCATCACCCTCCCGGATTCGTCCAGCACCTGCACGCGGTCGTTTCGCCAATCGCACACGTAGATGCGCCCCACGCCGTCCACAGCCAGGCCATTGGGACGGCTGAATCCATCGCCGCCGTCTGTCCCGTCGAATATGGCAAGACAATTGCCATCCGGATCGAATTTCTGAATGCGATCGTTCCGCCAATCCGAAACGTACACGGCCCCTGCAGCGTCGACGGTCACTCCCCACGGCATCCGGAATTGCCCCGGTCCACTGCCTGACGAACCCCAGGACGCAACCGGTTCACCTTGATCGGTGAAACGCTGGATCCGATCGTTGAGGGAGTCCACCACCAGCAATGTGCCATCGGAGGCGAAGGCGATCCCCGACGGGCGGTTGAGTTCGCCGGGTTCCTCTCCATACGTCCCCCAGCAACGGACAAATTCTCCCTCGGGCGTAAACACGCTGATACGATGTGTGTTTTCGTCCGACAAGTACAGATGCCCGTCCGGCCCGAAAGTAATGGACGTAATCCAAATAAACTGGCCAGGCGCCTCTCCCCAGCCAAAAAATTCACCGACGTAGTCTCCTTCGACGGTGCAACGGGACACACGCACGGCATCGGGTTGGTTGGGGTTGGCCCGGTTGGCCACATGCAGCAAACCATCGGGGCCCAGGGCAACTGAAACCGGCCCGCTGAATCCCGGCCCACCGCCCGAAAGGAGACCGATCACATCGTGATACTGATAAGCGCCAGCGACGGATAGAGGATGTTCTACAACAGTGGTCATGTAGGTTTCCTTGCGATATTCCTGTTAGTCAGGTCAGTTCCACGGTAACCGCGGGCAACCCGCACTCCAATTTTCCAATGGTTTCCAGGCAACGATCGTTAGCCGGTGGCATCACCGGACCGGAGAGCGCATCGCGACGCAGGCGTTCCAACGGCGACGATTTCAGCAGACCACCACCACCGGCCATCCTCATGGCGGCGTCAGTAACCGACACACCCACTTCGGCGCAATATTGCTTGGCGCGATTGACCGCCAGCACCGATGCGATGGGGTCCTCGTCTCGGTCGGTCAGCGCGGCGTCGATCAGTAACAAACGGCCCGATTGGATTGCAACGCTCATCTCGCCTATGGAGCGCTGGACCGACGGGTACTGAACCATTGTTGCCCCGTCGGGAGTCCAGGTCCTCTGTTGAACGTAGTCAGTTATGTATGCGTACGCTGCCTCGGCAATACCGAGATATACGGCGGCGTAACCCAGTGAAAAACTTCCCAGTCTGCCGACAACAGTCGGCCCGGCGGTCCGAACACATCATCGACCGACACGGACGTATCGTACTCGACGGTGTGGCTGGCCGTCGCCCTCATGCCCACGGCGTCCCATTGCCCGGTAACCGTCACTCCGCTGGAATCGCTGGGTATCATGGCGGAGATCAGATTCTCGGCGCCGCCGCCGCTGCCCGTTACGATACCCGACACAAAGAAATAATCCGCCGCGTCGGCCAGCGAGCAAAAGTGTTTTGTGCCCTCCACGCGGTAGCCTCCGCGTTCCCGGGGCGTGAACGTGGTGGACAAGACGAACCGTTCCCGCGCCGACGCGCCGGGTTCGCTGGTAATCGAAGCGAAAAGGCGACCATTTGTAACCGCTTCTCCGAAATATCGCCACTGTTGTTCCGTGGTTCCCAACCCACCCACAAACGAACCCAATACGTTCGTGTGCATGGTGAGCGTCAAACCGGTGGAAGCACACCCCCGTGCGACGGCGAGGATGCACATGGCGAAACCCAGTGGATCAAGACCGTGGCCTCCGAATTCCTTGGGGACTCGCAGGGTCAAAAGGCCGGTGTCGCGCAGGTCAATGTAATTTTCGGCAGGAAATTCGGCCGCAGCATCGTAGCGTGCAGCGCGGGGAGCGAATTGGTCCCGGGCCAACTCGTCAGCAATTCTCGCCAGCGCCAATTCCTCATTGGTCATCAGGCGGACAGCTGCCAGTGGTATCGGTTCGATACTGAGGGCCATGATCGGCGCTCGCTACGGTTGAAGGATCAGGCGAACTGGTACTCGCGCGTGGAACCTATCATGCGGAGCGCGTTCAAGATGATTGGTTCGGCAGTTGCGCGGCCTGCTTCGGTGCCTGTCTCCACCGGAAACTCAGCGCCACAGCGGGCGGCCTGGGCAATCAGGGCATCGCGATTGTCCGGCCGTAGTTCCACACAACCCAGTTGGTCCAGGCACCCGTCCACTATGGAGGCGGGGGTCAACGATGGTTCGCCATTCAGCACGTTATCCACAATTGCTCTTACGCCGACATGCCTTGGGTCACCCAATTGGTCGGCAACAAAATTGATGCGCTCCACCATGCTGCCGCTGTCGATCCACTCTTTGCCGGTGTGCCAACCCTCCACCGACGGGGGATTCAGCAAGTCCTGATTCATGTAGCGGCATTCCAGCGCAAATTCCATCACACCGTGGCGGGGAAATTTCAAGTCGCCGACCAGATGCAATGTACCAACCACGACTTCGGCGGGACTTTTCACGCGGGCGAAACGGGCTGACTCTGATTTGAAGAAATCAGAGCTGAAGAGCAATTGAAGCATCGACTGTATATCGTAACCGGATCGGAAATACTCGGCTTCCAGCAGCGCGACTGCTTCAGGATCAGGCAGAGGAGTATTCTGCCAGGCCGGCACCTGCACGTCGTCGGCCACGAAGAAATTGTACATGTGCCGACTGACAAACCGGGCCGTGGCCGGCTGCCTGCAGATTATGTCGATTATATCCTCACCGTTGAAATCGCCGGTCTCACCCAGGAAGGTTTTCTCGCCATCGTCGTGGTCGTCCGGATCGTATCGGAAAAGCCAGGGGATTTTGCCAAACGGGATGCTGGCGACGTTGTCATCGTCAATGGTCCAACCGGTGAACGCCCGGGCGGCTTCCTGTACGTCTTCTTCAGAGTAATTGGAGCGGCCATCCATACCGACGCCCATGGAAAAGAGCTCCAGCAACTCGCGGCCCCAGTTTTCGTTGATGGCATCCTTGTGATTGAAATTGTTGTCCAGCCAGAAGATCATCGCCGGGTCGCGGGCCAGTTGAACCAGCAAGTCACGGAAAGAACCCAACCCATGTGCGCGCAACATGTCGATCTGGTTCAGCATGGTTTTTTCGTGCAGGACTTTTGCCAATCCGGTCGCAAACACACCGTGCCAGAACAGGGCCACTTTCTCCTGCAATGGACGGGTGCCCGCACTGGCATTCATCCGATATACCGTCTCGGTCAGCGCGCCCTCTATGTTGCGGCATTCCTTCCAGTCGATGTAGTAGCGCTCAATGATGTCTTCATCCAGTCCCTGTGAATCTTCGGGATGCAGCAGCCATTCCAGCGTGGCATCGTATCCACGGGAGCAATACGCATCCAATTCAGAAGGGGTTGCCCCGAACCCGGCCCGCCGCATCAGGTGAGCAATTAACGAGCGCTCCCGGCCCGAACCAAGGGCATTCTCGGAATAATTTGGGGTTGGTCGAGCGGAATCTATAGTCGTCATTTGCGGATCCCTTCCACGATACTGAACGAGGCGATTGAGAATTAATCCCCGGGTGGGAATCGCGGCTAATCATACCACAGCGCCCGATCAAGACCCGGGGCCCGGGAATACCGCAACTGTTCAGAGTTGAAGTTAGTATCCTGGCCCCAACCTGTCTTTCCCGCGAACGCGGGAATCCAGCAAGCCGAGGATAAGCGACATAGCGGTTAAAAGACGCCTCTGGATTCCGGCTCAAGGCCGGAATGACGGAATGGTTTGGCTGGAATGACCGAGTGGTATGGAAATCACAAGTCGAGTCTGAACTGATACGGAATACCGCAACACGACACGTATCGTGCCCACTATGTTCGTGTTGACACTAATCTCGGGCCGGCGCAGTATATTTGCAGTTCACCGTGATCATCCGACACCATCATTTGCAGCTCGTTAGCAGTTTTGGCGGGCTACGACCACGGCAAACGGCGAGGTTGATCCATCGCGAATAGACGTAGATTGCCCCGGATGCACACCCTCGATTCGTGGTTGGCATATCGCGATTTCCGCCTGCTGTGGATCGGCAATTTTTTTGGCAACACCGGCATGTGGCTACAACTGCTCAGTGTGGGTTGGTTGGTAAAAGAGCTGTCGGAAGGCTCGGGTATCGGCGGGTTGTTGGTGGTCTCGGTCGGCGCGCTTAACACCCTCCCCGGCTTGATCATGAACCCGCTTTCCGGCGTCCTCGGAGACCGACTGGATCGCCGCAAGCTGGTAATCATTGTGCAATCCCTGGGCGCCATACTGGCATTGTCTTTCGCCTTTCTGGTAGCCAGCGATCTGATCCGGCCCTGGCACGCATACGCCTATGTACTGATCTCCGGTTCGTTCCTGGCCATTTCTCAGCCATTGCAACAGGTACTGATTTCCAACACCGTGCCCCGAGCGGCTATCGGGAACGCATACGCCATAAATGTACTAACCGTCACCGGCACACGGATATTCGGGCCGTTCGCCGGCGGGTTGTTGATCGCCCAGTGGGGGTTTTTTTGGAACTTCGCGCTTGAAGCTGCGTTATATCTCGGCGTCGTGATTATGTTCTTAACGATGCGAACGCCGTACGCCACCGAGCGCGCGCCTGATACCGCTGGCCGTCTTTCCCCGCTGGCAGACTTCCGAGACGGCTTGAGGCACATCTGGAGGGACCAGAGAGAAATCCTGCAGATCATGGTAGTGTCGGTCATCCCCAACACGATTTTGCACCCGGTTTGGTTCCTGTTGCCTTTGTTCACTGCCCAGGTGCTGCACGCCGAAGTGGATATGGGTGGATACCTGTTGGCGGTAACCGGCGCGGGCGGGTTGATATCCACTTTGGCAATTGCGACGTTCGGATTCGCCGGACTTCCAAGGGTTACCAACAAGTCCTTCTGGCGGCGGCGGCTCTCAGTTCGGTTAGCACGATGATGTTCTCTCATTCGTCATGGCTTCCCGCCGCACTGATATTCCTACTGTGCGTGATGTCCATGTTCCACGGCCAGCACTACTAGCACGTCAGCACACACCGCAGGGGACGGGGTTGTGTGACGCATCGTCCCTCAGTCGCTATTCGCGCCCGGACGATGAGTGTTTTGAACTATGAACGAGCGTTCCTTACCGGCACCAGTATTCTGGTAGGGTTACTGGCCGATTACACGTCTGCGTCATGCATGTCTCGTTGCCTGGTGTGTGGTCTGGGCCTGGGGCTCTTGGATTGTCCGCGATTTTGCGCGCCGCTGCCTTACCACGGGTGCGTTCTCTCGACTGACCGACGTGGGTCAGGAATGACAAACCAGATGGAAGTTCGCGTTTGGGGCAGTTTCCCATTATCAGACGGAATATCTAACCGCTCACAGCATTGACGAACGTGCTGAACAGGCGCAATATACGACCCAGAGCTGGGCGGCGCAACACCAGCGGCAACGCCATTTATTGGCAATTCGGAAGAGGGAGACATTTCATCATTCGCATCGTTCGGATGCCCCGGCTGCACACTCTGGATGCGTGGTTAGCGTATCGCAACTACCGGCTGCTTTGGTGCGGCAATTTTTTTGCCAACAGCGCACAGTGGTTACAACTGCTCACTGTAGGGTGGTTGGTTCTGGAACTGTCCGAAGGATCTACGGTCGCTGGATTACTGGTGGTTACCGTGGGCGGATCAACCAGACGCTGCACGGGATCTATATCGTGACCGTGGGAGCTTCGTCTCAGCGACGCGGTTTCGACCGGCGACGGCTGGTCATTTCCCTGCAGGCGGTAATGGCGGTTCTGGCCTTCGGCTTTGCGGCGCTCGTGCTGACCGAACGGGTTGAAGTGTGGCACGCCTATGGGTACGTAATTCTCGCCGGCAGCTGCCACGCGATGATCCAGCCCATGCGCCAGGCCCTCATCGCCGGAACCGTGCCCCGCGAAATGTTGGGCAACGCACTGGCGACCAACGTCCTCACCATCACCGGAACCCGCATATTCGGCCCATTCATCGGCGGTTTCCTGATCTTCACGTTGGGATTCTTCTGGAATTTCACCATCGAGGCGTGCCTGTATCTGGCGAACATCGCGATGATATTTTCATTGCGCACTCCTTATTTTCAACCCGGTGACGCTCGCCAGAGGGGGTCGTTTCTCGCCAACCTGATCGAGGGTATGCGCTATATCTGGAGCGGAGAACGGGCTATATTCCAGTTGATGATTTTGTCGGTAATCCCCAATATCATCCTGCATCCGATTTGGTTCCTGTTCCCGGTGTTCACCACCGACGTGCTGATGCGCGATGCCAACATCGGTGGTTTCCTGTTGTCGGTAACTGGCATCGGAGGGTTTCTGGCCGCTCTGTTCATGGCTTCGTTCGGCTTCGTGTTTACCAAAGGAAAGGTTGTATTGGGAGCCGCCGTAACCAGCGCCATCACGGCCATATTTTTTGCGTTCTCACACTGGATGGCGCTGGCTTTCGTGGTAATTGCAGCGATGGCGTTCAGCCAGGCAGTGTTCCGCACCACCCGCGGGACGCTGATACAGACGTTGGCTCCGGATCGGTTGCGAGGCAGGTTGACGAGCTTGCAAAGTCTGGACCGCGGGTTCCTGGTGGTTGCCAGCCTGGGCGTGGGATTGTTGTCGGATGCAACCTCACCAACAACTGCCATCGCCATCGTGGGGTCACTGGGCCTTGTTCTGGCGTTGGTTTGTGCGGCGGCCCTGTGGCGCGTCCGCCTGTTGCCGTGATCGCAGGGCTAACCGAGTACATCTTGGTCGCATGATCCGGGTCGAATGTTTCGGGTCGGCTGCATACCATCGCCGCAACCGGTGTCATTTCGTATGAGATGCCGGCAGGAGTATCATGGATCGCCCCCAGGGCTGATTAGGCCGGGCCAAGGCAAGGGTGTAACTTAGTTTGATTCAGCGCATCACGGTTAGCCGGTATTACAAGTGGTGGATATTCTGGACAATCGCCACCGGCACGTTTTTCTCGGT